CAGGCACGATATGGGGAAAGTGGTCCAATGATACACAGCAGGAAATACCTGTCACACACAGGTCAGACTGCTAGCAGCACTGGCAGATTAAAGAAATGGAGACGTACTTTTGGTTCAAAGACCACAAGGTGCTCTCGCAAGGGCAGCTGGATGTCGGGGCTGAGCGTTCGTGCGATGAGCTGAATGATAATATTCCGATACAACACCCTGGTGAACATGAGGTCAGCTCAGAAATCTCAGTGCCACATAACACGAATGTACTCTCCGGTGCGCTGATCAGGGGGAAGGTTGTCAAAATTGACAACAAACATGTTCTCCAGCCGTAGGTCGCGTGCGACGCTCTCATCCATCAGCACAAGTAATAACTGAAAGGTGATGGGTCAGCCGCACATTCCATGCATGCATACTGATTCAACCCGCACTGGCGCTGGCAGCGCCAACGCGGGTGTGCTATACCACATATGTGACCTGTTACCCGCACTCGCGCTGGTGACGCGAATGGGGGTAGAGACAGTACAATAATTGTACGCATTGTTACCCCCATTCGCGTCACCAGCGCGAGTGCGGGTAACAGGTCACATATGTGGTATAGCACACCCGCGTTGGCGCTGCCAGCGCCAGTGCGGGTTGAATCAGTATGCATGCATGGAATGTGCTGACCCGCATCCGTGCTGGCGCACGGATGAGGGTAGAACACTACCACAACACGAGAATTTATGTACGGTTACCCGCACTTGCGCTGCAGCGCGAGTGCGGGTAACCGTTTCAGACATCCGTCCTTTACCCACAATGGCGCGTGTAGCGCGAGTGTGGGTAAGGAAATGTAAGAAGATGGGTGGTCCCCATGCGCAGAGGTCCGCTTTTTTGTGAAAACCTCGCCCTGACCCCACCCTGACCCCGAACATTGGTTGAAAATCCCCTATAATATGTACCACCGATGCCGTGTAACTGGCTACACAGAAAGCAACTGTTTGCACTCTAGGTGGCCACGATCTCCGCGGCTTTGGATGGCATGCTTATTCTCTTAGACTGGAGCTACAATGAGACGGTGTTAGCGACCAGGATGCGAGACTACCTTCGTACAGTCGAGATGAACGAATTTTCGAAGTTCCAGAACCCTCAATGCTCAAAGCTGATGTCATTAACGTATCCGCAAATCAGGTGGGAAGCCTTACATCGCATCCACGTTGACCGTACGGACCCTGAAGCGGTTCACCGACAAAATTACAGCGTGATGCAGAGAAAATACGTCCACGAGGCCCAGACGTCGATGTCCAAGAGGCTGGGCCGGAACGGTTGGACGACTTCTGCGCTCTGGCGGCGGCGCACCTGGCAGTTTTGTGAGCGAGTGCCTCAACTCCAAGCGAGGAACAGAACGGAAAGACTGATTGAAAGCATGCGCAGGACAGTGCACGAGATCGATTGGCCGCAAATTGGCCGTGACGGACGATATTTGCGAGTGGTGCAGATGCTAATAAGCATCTGTACACCAGGTACACCGCCCTTCGGATACGGTTCACCAGTACTTCGAAGATACGTCAAAGTGAGCTTCGACAGATGATCTTGAGATGAACATGATTAGCTCGGCCTCGTGTGTTACGACAAATGAACACACCTGTCGAAAAGAGCTCTTGGTTCGATGTGGTTCGTCATGTCCGTACGGACGGAGACGCACTTGAAGACATAGGCGAACTCGGTGACGGAAAAATTACTGTACTAGCCAATGCGGCCGTTATCGTAGACTGAAGCTGCATCAGGAAAACTACATCTTGCTTCGGCAGCCTTAGACGGCTTTCCGTGGCTTTGCATTTGTCTTAGCTGACTTACCTGTCTTAATGTACTTAGCTCTCAGCAGCCACTACGATGGCCGACGTGCAGCAAAGTGCATTAAGCCACACAAAGCCAGTTAAGCATATGTACAAGGAGATGCCAAAACGAAGTAGTCTAAGACAATCTAAGCGATGTTGGTCCCAACTTAGTATGCTATGGTGTGCGAATGACGATCCACAAAATCACTCTAACTGACTGCTGGCGCGTCCTGGACCCTGATCGTCGAAGCCGTGCACAAGCTCATGACGACGCCGGCACACTGCAACCACTTGCACTCGCCGGACGCGATGAATTGGTCGATGATGCACTGCGCGTTGTTCGCGATCGCCGAACTGCGCGTCCCAGATGGTCAGCGCGTCGGGCGAGACGAGCAAGTAGCCCGTCTCGAAACCGAGCGTGCCGATGCCGAACTCAGAGAGCGACGAGGTGCAGACGACAAAGCGTGCCTTGCCAGAGCCCAGCGCGTTCAGGGGGACGTACTGCTGCTCGTTGTCCTGGTCGTGAATGACGGTGTGGCGCTGCGCGAAGGTACCGCGCTCAACGTCTTGGCCGGACACACGTACGTGGACCTTCTCGAGGGCGAGAGCGCCGAAGGCAAGTGCCTCAGTGGTTGCCTAGTCGACGTTCTGCCCTCCTCCACGGTCTTCCGTCGGGTGTTCAGGATACGCGCGAGGTTGCGGTGAGGCTTGAATCCTTCAGGGTAGGTGGAGATGGCCTTCCCGATGCGCTTCAAGGTCTCATCCGTCGAACCAGTGGTGCGCATGGGGAGCATCTCTGCCAGTTCCTTGGGGATGGGAAGCACGGCTAGGACGAGGAGAGCCACTCCTTGCTCGTCGGAACGTGGTCCTTCGCGCCGCTCGCCACCTTCTCCATCACGCCCCGGCTCGCTCGTTCGACGCCCTACCCATCCGATTTTGCCAGTGCTATTGACGCGCCCATCATGATCTTCTACGCCGGCGGTGGGGGCGTCGGGGCGGTCGGCTTCGTCTGCAGGCTCGTGGCCGGCTGGCGCGCAAGAGAGGGGGCAAGTGGGGCAGGAAAGCGGAGGGACGAGCAGGCGGGAAGGCAAGGATACGAGCAGGCAGGAAGGCAGGAATACGAGCAGGCAGGAAGGCGGGGAGACGAGCGGGGAGGCGTGAGGGCGAACCGGGCTGGTGAACGGGCTAGTGAAGGCTGGTGAGAAGGCGAGCGGACGAGAAGATGGGCGGGCGTTGCACTCACCTGTACTGACCCTGCCGGGGCCCGCCTGCCCCAGGTCCGTGTTACCCTCGCTTCCCCGTCATGTTTGCATGTGCTTTGACGCTACCGCATAGTGTTAAGGATGCAGGACGAGGAAGGTTGACAGAAGTGGAGGAGTCGACGTTGACGTGGAGGTTGCAACTCGCGGCAAGTGCTAAGCGCCTCGGGCACGAGGCATCACGTGTACTTGCTGTTGCGAGTCGCTAAGTTGCTCGACGCTCTCAAGTTCAACTTTTACGGTGACCGCTACCGCTCTCCCTTCGTGTCCACCTTCAGCCCAAGTTTGAAGTAGGATCCGCCCATCTGTCTACACCGTCCCTGGCAGTACCCGTACCCGTGACCCGAGCGGGCTCAGGTTACCTGTGCTCTGCACTGAGGCTCTCTCGCACGCCCGTCCTCTCGCGCATGTCCATCCTCTCGCGCATGCCCACCCTCTCGCGCACGCCCATCCTCTCGCGCACGCTCATCTTGCATCCGCTCTCCCGTCTATAACATCACTCTGGTCGGCGCCTCTCTCGCCCAGGTATGCCTCGGCTATAATGTGATGACGCGGCTCACACTCGACGGAAGGATCCCACTGTCGCGCTGTCGCACAAGATAGCAAGTTGCCCTTCCTCGTCATGGACATACTGTTCGGGACCTACCAAGTCTGCGCAGACGACGCGGTTCGTTAACGTAACTTGACTCATGCACGAGGGCGGCGTCGAGGTGGGGAGAGGCATATATTCCTGGGCTTGACTAAATAATACTCTCTGGACAGAACGGCACCCAGCACGAACTACCCCGCTAGAAGGCATCGCACCCGGGCTCTCCTTCGATCTCTGCTCCACGGCCGCCTATGTCGGTAATACTGCGTGTTCGGGATCATGCACGGATCAGTAACAACCTCGATGGTCCGACGTGCGTCTGGGGTTCTCACGGGCTGTCATCGACTCGAACGACAACGGCACTTATACCATCCCACAGCCCGAAGACGACGCCGACAGCTCACGGACGGACAGTCTCGACCGCCCCCTTGATGTTTTCCGGTGTGAGCCTGCCGGCGAGTATAATTGCCATCCGTGCCCTTCACCCCCAGCACCTCGCCCACTCGACCACCTCCCGCGCAACCTCCAAGTCCAGCTTCGTGCCTCTCCTGCCGCTCAGCCCGTCGCCGCCGGGACGCACCGCATCCAAGAGAACAAACTGGTTCAGCCCGGGGCGCGTGACCTCCGCGACCGCGTCCACGCTGCGCTCGCTGACGTGCACGACGCAGATGACGGGCACGGGCAGGAAGCGCGCCCACTCCGCCGGCTCGCGTCCGTGCAGCTGCACCATGTCGAGGTGCGCGACCTCCACCGCACGCACGATCGTCTCCAGCGGTGCATCCTGGAACACGCAGTGGGCAGCTCAGCGAGTCCTGCGGCGCCACCGCCTCCCGCGCCGCCGTTGCGTGCGCCACGAACTGTAGAGACTAGACAAACGGTCAGACGCTCAGTCGTGGTGTGACTTCGACTAATATTGATCTACCTAGACAAACGGTCAGACGCTGCTAGGTAGTCAGCTACAGAATGTATCGTATAGTGTGTGTGCTAGGGCTTACCTCAGTCGTGGTGTGACTTCGACTGAGGAAAGAGGGAGAGAGACGGAAACGGACGAACCACCCCCGGCGGTATGTCACGTGCACGGTGGCGGAGATCGAGATCGCGGCGCGACCTCAACACTCCTCCTCGGCGCGAATGGCGAGAGAGACGACGGGGGGTACGTGATGTACGTAAGGTGGGTATTAGAAGGTGTCGCATGTATCGTAGATATCGCAGGAAGGAATGGTATGAGTCCGTGGGGGATCGCGATGTAGTAAAGAAGAGACCGTGAAAAGAGATGGGTCGAATCGTAAGAATATGGCGAGCGGGTAACGCGAAAATATGCCTGACGAGACGAAAAAGAAGAACAGGAATAAAGAAACAAACAGAAGATCAACTCCTCCTCTCGAGGAACTCCTCCTCACCGGGAAAACTCCTCCTCGCATGGAGGCCTGAGGCCCATAAGACCACGCAAGAGCTGGAACGGCTTCCGCTCGAGCGGCTTTGTGAAGGCATCAGCAACATTTAGATGGGATGGGACATGCTGAATAACGATCCGCTTGTCCGTGACTACCTCGCGGAGATAGTGCCACTTGATATCAATGTGTTTGACGCGAGAGTGAAACGTAGAGTCGGCAGAGAGGGTGATCGCGCTGGTGCTGTCGACTCGCATGAGGGAGGCGGAAGGCTGGGAGAAGCCAAGGCCGTCGAGCAGGAAGCGGAGCCACACGCCTTCCTTCGCCGACTCGGCAGCCGCAATGTACTCGGCCTCGGTGGTAGATGTGGAGACGGTGGGTTGCTTGCGCGCTGACCAAGAAATGATGCCCGAGCCCAGATTCCAGCAGTAGCCCCCAGTGGAACGCCTAGTGTCGATACAGCTAGCGTGGCTGGCATCAGCATACCCGTTCAGATTCGCAACGTCGGCGCCACCGAGGTGTAGGCGGAAGTGTCGGGTGCCCTTGAGATAACGTACGACGCGCTTCGCGGCCTCCCAGTGAATTTCGGCATAACAATCGAGGAACTGGCTGAGGTGCTGAATGGCGAGGGCGATGTCGGGGCGAGTCCCAATGGCTAAGTACATTAGACACCCGATGAGAGAGCGGTATGGCAGCCGAGCGGCACGTTCTTTCGCAGCAGGCGTCTTCGGGGAGTGCTGAGCGCGGGAGAGGCGGAGACCGGCTTCCATGGGCGTAGAGACCGGCGCACAGTCGGGACCGTCCAGACGGAACTGCTTGACGATCTTGTCGATCAGTGCAGTCTGCGAGACAGCCACAGACCGGCGAGCACGGTCACGGTCAATCTGAATGCCGACGCAGAAGCGCGCCTCACCCAAGTCGGCGATCTTCCAAACACGACGGAGGTCGTCCTTGAACTCCTCCTTAGCGGCAGCAGAGCTAGCCGTCAACAGGAAGTCGTCGACATGAACACCTGTGAGAACGGTGCCCTTCGCCGACTTGCGATAGTAGACACAATACTCGCAGGGCAAACGTGTGAAGCCGATGCTCAGCAGATGTGAGTTCATCGTATCGTTCCACGTACGACTGCCCTGCTTCGTCCCATAGATGCCACGCACCAGTTCCCATACCCAATCCTCTTTGCCAGGCTCCTCGAAACCGGGTGGTTGCTCCATGTAGCAATACTCGTCCTCGGGGAGAATCCCATAGAGGAACGCAGTCTTCACATCGAGCTGCTCAACTTCCCAATCGAGAGACGCAGCGAGGTGGAGGAGAGCGCGGAAGGACTCCATGCGCATGGTAGGTGAGGAGGTACGGTTGTAATCCTGCCCGTAGACCTGCTGAAAACCCTTCGCGACCCAACGGGCCTTGAAGCGCACAGGGTCGCCGTTTTCATTCCGCTTCAGACGGAACACCGGCTTGCCCTTCATGATACGACGTCCAGCCGGCACCGTAGAGCGAGGGATGAGACGGTATACTCCCAGCTCCTTGATGGACTGGAGCTCATCTCGCAGCGCGCCACGCCATTCTGTACGGAACGGTGACGCGTCAGCCTCAGCCAGAGTAGCCGGGTCCCCTGGGTATTCAACATTGAGTGGCAGAACATCGTCCCCGGCCAACGCAGCGAGCACGGACTCAAGGTCCGGTGCAACGCCGGCGGCGGGCGGGTCGCCAATAGCAAAGTCGGGAGGAACCGCAGGTGCGACAGGAGGCAGCGCCGGAGGAGCAGCGACCACAGAGGCGGGAGGGACAGGCGCTGGTATGCCAGAAGAGGAGGAACGACGTGGACCGGCCTCGCGCATACGGTCCAGGGTGCGATCCAGGCGCGAGACGAAAGGCACGCCCGCGGCAGCAGCTCGCTTCTGAGAGGGCATGGGCAAGCGCGAGGAACGGCGGATGGGCAGTGAAGCGGGTGGGACGACAGCGACTGGAGGCTCAGGGTCCGGGACAGGCAGGTCGAGAGGAGCGGGCGGCACGGGCGGAGGAACATCGACAGAAGACGGGGGGATAATAACATCGTCATCGTCCACCACAACGTCGTGTGCAGGGGGAGCCGAGACGGGAGGCGGGCCGACGATAATTGGAGTCGGTGCGACCGAGGTGGGCGAGGATGTCGAGGTTTCATGCGACTCAATGAACGAGACGTGGAACGACTCGACGACCTTGTGGGTCCCCCTGTGGTACAGCCGGTAGGTCTTTGAATGCTGGCCATACCCAATCAGTACGCACTCGACAGACCGTTCGTAGATCTTCGGGTTATGCCTATTCTGAATGAGCACGAAGGCACGGCAACCAATCTCGCGCAAGTGCGAGAGGTCCGGCTTCTTACCGTGCCACATTTCATATGGCGTGACGCCCGGAGCGAGAGAACGAGACGGCGTGCGAACAGACAAGTAGTTCGCAGTGACTAGAAACTCGTCCCAGCGATTTGGCGGGGCATTCGCAGCAAGACGCATGGCGCGCGCGCGATCCATCAGTGTGCGGTGAAACCGCTCGATGCGACCGTTCTGCGCGGACGTATGCGGCGCCGTCGTGCGCCATTGTGAGCCACGACCTTCGATCCAAGTTTTGAAGTCGTTGGACAGGAGCTCGCCGTTGTCCACTTGCACTATGCCGAGACGCTCGCCTGTCTCCACTTCCCGAGCGAGAACCCAAGCCTTGAAACGTTCAAGGATGACTTTTGAGGGCACGGGAATGGCCCAAGTATGTGACGTGAAATCATCGAGGATGTTCATAGAATACAGGTTGCCTAACGCTGAACGCACATCCTGCTGCCCCTGCACGTCCACAAACACCGTACCAAGAATCCGCTTCGCCTTATCTCCCACCCGCACCTTAGGAACTGCACTTCTCGTCTGCTTGCCGAGGATGCAATGTTCACATTTGGCAGGTGGGGAGAGAATGATGGGCATACCTGAAACGGATCCGAGGCGGGCCATGTCGTGGATCGTACGATGGTTGACGTGACCGAGACGACGATGCCAGACGTCGAGCGTTGGCACACGACCCGAATAGAGGGCGTGCTCGGTGGAAGGAGGGGCGCCATCGAGAGAGTAGAGGCGCTTGGAAGTCAGCGTGCCGCTAGCGAGAACAGCCCCACCCGGCTTGAGGATGCGGACCCCAGTGTCCGTGAAGAGCACGGAGTAACGAGAGGTCGAGGCGCAAAGAGCCGAGATACTCACGAGGCGAACAGTGGCCTGGGGTACATACAAGACGTTCTCGAGGATGATCGAAGCGCCGCGACCGATGTGCAGGCGCACCTTGCCCAGACCGCAGGCGTATATGACCGAGCCGCTGACCCCCGGATGCCGCGAGGCGAGATGGGGCGAAGCTCGTGGAAGTCGGCCTTGCGAGGAGACAGATGCGTAGAAGCGCCAGAGTCGAACACGAAGGGCTCAGTCCCCTCGGTCGAGATACGACGAGTCGCAGTGGGCACAGGCGCCACCGAAAAAGCGGCGGGGTCGTCAGGAGCACGGCAGTGGTTAGACCAGTTGAGTGAGACCAACTCTTCGTCCTCAACGGACACCAAGGTCTCATACTCGAAGAGATCCGCCGGGACAGCCACAGTGGCGAGCCAGTCTGGGGACGCGTCAGTAGCGAGGCCGGCGAAGTCGGTCTCGGAGGTAGCGTCATTCGAAGAACTGGACTCGGTGGCCGAAGGCGGGGCTGTGCTCAAGAGATATGCATGGCCGGTCTTGCCGTCCACGATGTACGCGCGACCCTGCTTGTCGCGGTCGGTAGAGGAGGACACGGCAGGTTTGCCAGAACTCTTGCCTTTCTTTTTGTTCGCGAGTACTTCCTCACGACGACCCTCCATGCCGCCACCAGGGGCCCAGCACTCGGGGGCAGTGTGCCCACTCGGGCGCGGGCATTTGGCGTTGGTGCACAACTTCTGCGACGACGTCGACTTGCCTGGTTTCGCGAAAGCGGCGAGAGCGGTTGCGGACGAAGATGCCTTGTTGTCGGACATGATTCGCTGTTCAAGATCGAGGCGCGCGGCGATGTCGACGGAGGTGTACGGAACGCCCGAGGTAGCGGATGTCGTGAGCGACGTGCCGACCTGCGACTGAAGATGCTGGAGGTATCCGTTCATCGAGTTCAGCATCCCGATGGTCATGAAGACCTCTAAGTTGGGAATGCCGATGTGGAAGATGCGTTCGGCCAACTCTTGGAGCCGCGTGGTCGTCTCCGAGAAGTGTTCCTCGGCGCTGTAACGGCAGGCGAAGAAATCCTGAAGAAGACGAACCTGGGCATATGCGCCGGGCTGCTTCTCGTGACGAGCGCACAGGGAAATCCATAGGGCGCGAGCGTCGGTGAACCCGGCGATGAAGCGTTGTTCCTCCTTCGCTGCCTTCGAGCTGAGAAAAGCGATGATGACCTGCTCGTTCCGTCTGAACTTCGTGACCGAGCCGGGGTCGTCCTCGACGGAGGGAGCGGTCTCCTCGCCAGACAGGTAGGCCCACGCGAAGCACATCTTGAGTGAGTTCTCGACGTACGTCTTCCATTCGAACCAGTTATCTTTCTTGCGGTCGAGTATGAAACCGCCGTTGAAAAGCGACGATGGTAGGTGGATGAGCTCGACCTTTTCCTTGGCGGCAGCCTTGAGATCCATTTTGGGCGCCGGAGATAGCAGATCTGTGCGCGTTTTCGGCGTTTTGGGTACCGAAACTTTGGGACTCGAGGTCGGGGTGATGGTCATTGGTCGATAAGGTGACTATATGCGGGGTCAGCACACGTTTGTGGGTGCTTCAAAGTCGTTCCTGGGTCTGAAAGGCCGAAGTGAGGTCTCAGGTAAGCGGGCGGGTTCAGAAACACCGCCCGGGGCTCATAACCTGTAGAGACTAGACAAACGGTCAGACGCTCAGTCGTGGTGTGACTTCGACTAATATTGATCTACCTAGACAAACGGTCAGACGCTGCTAGGTAGTCAGCTACAGAATGTATCGTATAGTGTGTGTGCTAGGGCTTACCTCAGTCGTGGTGTGACTTCGACTGAGGAAAGAGGGAGAGAGACGGAAACGGACGAACCACCCCCGGCGGTATGTCACGTGCACGGTGGCGGAGATCGAGATCGCGGCGCGACCTCAACACGAACCACGACACCCACGCCATCTCTGTGCCCGCGCCCGCGTGTGCCTGCGCCTGTGCGAGCCGGCCCGCGAGGTAGCTGTTCCGCGGCGACGGTGTCGCCGGGGGGAGAGCGGCGGGGAGGAAGAGCGGACCGGGCCCGCGACGCGTGCACCGCGACGCTGATCGCCTGCGCCTGCGCGAGCAAGACGGCGCGCTTGCTCGTCGGGACGAACATCGGCCCGAGCATGTCCGCGCCTGCTTGCACCTGCTCACCCGTTCTCACGGAGGGCACACGCATCCAGCGACTGCACAGCTGCGCTACCTCCACATCATTGCAGAAACCAGCACTGTCCTCGCAGTCCCAGGCTCCTGCACCGGAGAAGCGGGTCGGACACTGGTGAGACGTTCAAACCTAGCAGAAGGAAGGGCAGCTCGGGCTGATTCCTTTAAAAGTTGTATAGGGTTCGAGGACTGGTCCTGGGTGGACCATCTGCCGATGCCTCGCGTCTCGAGTGGGTGAGTGACCAGGCTTCCTATCTTGCCCTCGGACCGGACATGCTCACTGAGACGGTAGGTTTCAGATGTGACCGCGCGTCGTGCGCATCCGAACACCCGGTCATTTGCGGGGGGCGAGAGTTGGGAATGTGAGGGGCAGGGGTCCGGTATGTGAGCTTTGTCTCCCGGTTCGTATGCTCGCTGATACATGTATGTATCATCTCGTCGGATGTCAGCTGCTGCCGCGCATAGCGCGATATCTAGACCAGTAGTCAACCAGGGCCAACTGTCCATGATCTCCCTAAGGTATGCCTCACGTCCATTGGTACACTTCCAAGTTCCCACGAGCATAGATCCTGGCCATGAATGTCTGCGACCCTGACCCACTTGCCCGCCGACCCACCTACCCACGTACTCACTGTCCCAGAGAAACAACTACTGCAGGACGTATGCGCATGCGACTCTGTTACACCCACACACCTGCACAGCCTCTTGCCCACGGCTCCTCTTGCATGCGCCCTCTTGCCCTCGCTCTTGTCTACTCGTTCAGCTGGCCACCCACCCACTCATGCGGTCGCCCATGCGATCCTCCACGTGTACATATGCAGCTGTTTAGTCGGACTTATATACCTCTTAAGTGTACTTAGACGTGGCTTAATAGATTGCTTGGGCGTGCTTCATGAAGCAGACCGGCTTATTTTAAGCAATTGGACCTTCTTCAATAAGCCGCCTCGGCTTAGTGGCTTGATTGACTTAATGGCTTGATTAAGCCCATTAAGCCGCCATTAAGCCACATGTAGTTTTCCTGATGTGCTGAGAAACCGAAGATGAGTCTTCGACTTGTTATGTATGTTCCTTGATGGTTGCTTGGTGATCGTCAATGCTCTGTATACATTATGACCCAGGAACCGATCATCTATATATCAGACGTCCGTGAGTCGCGAGTGCGAGGATTACTGGGATTCCCAAGGACACGAGTGTGTCATACAGTTACCAGGAAAGCAGCGAGCTCAGGTCGCAGACTGATCATGACAGGGACAGTGCAGAGCCCTGGATGAGCGTGGTGCATAGCCTGACGGTCGGACAGTTTCAGAGGAGAATGGAGGTAACTTGCGACTCGGACTCGGAGGAGAGAATGGAGAAGGCAGTGGCACAGCGCACGAAGAATTTCGATCGACAGCATACTGTAATAAACGCAGATTTGTGATTTGTGGTGGATAGCCTTGTGTGTGTGGAAAGGGTTCGGACGCGGCCGGTTCGACCGACGCGGGCGTCTGAGAGTGGAACCCGCTCCTCGTCCCGCACCATGTCCTCGATCGCAGACCACCACCGAACCCCCACCAAGCACGACCCAGCACACCCCGCAGAGCCCACCATGTCCAGCAGTCTCTCCCCCACCGACCTCCGCCACATCACCTCCAGCTCAAACCTCGCCAGCCCCCGCGAGCGCAGGCTCTCCAACCGCAACTCCCAGCATCTGCGCACCCACCGCGTCGGCTCCCGCTCGCCCTCGTCCATCCCGTCCTCGCCCACATCCGTGTAGGTGACTTGCCACTGAGTCTCTGTGTGCGCTGATCTGTTTGCAGCCACTCGTCATCCTCGGCCATCTTCGAGCGCGACATCGAGCCCATCACGCCCGCCGCGGCCGTCTCGCCCAACGCCGACCCCCACCGCATCGCGCGCGGCAAGTACACCGAGCAGCTCGAGCAGTCCGTCCCGTCCGTGCTCGACAGCGCAGCCACCGTCCTCGCTGCGTCCGATGTCCAGGACGACGACTTTGATGCCGTCTCCATCATCACCCCCGCCCCGCCCGACAGTGGCTACCGCTCCGGCTTCGCAAGTCCTTCCAGTCGTATGAGCAGCCGCAGCCCGAGCCCGACAGGCGTCAGCCCCGGCCGCCGCACGAGCCTGCTCTTCAGCACGAGCCCGACGAGCCCGCTGCAGTTCATCCACACGCAGGCGCAGAGCCCCGTCCCGATCGCGCCCCTGCCGACCGTGCCCGCGACGCCGACGTCCGCGTACTACTCCGCGGCAGCGTCCGCCGTGCCGTCCGAGGTGAACTCGGAGGCGTCCTCGCCGACGACCGCGACGCACCACGAGCACCCGCTGCACTCTTTGCCAACCTCGCAGCCGACGACGATCACGATCCCCGCACCCTTCATCCCGCACCCGCCCTCGCCCAAGGCGGCCGCCAAACGCCTCTCCTTCCTCTCCTACACGGACCTCCTCTCCTCCGCCCCGTCCTCGACCCTGCCCCTCTCGTCCGTGCTCACGAACGAGCCCCCGCACCTCCCCAGCGTCATCGGGCTCCCGCAGGCGCTGTACGCGGCGAGCTCGAGCGCAGGCAGTGTGCGCGCAGCGAGCGTCATGGAGCGCGATACGGCGAGCCAGGTGGTGGACGACGTGGGCGGCGAGTGGGAGCGGGAGGGGCTGGGGAGGGGGCTCGAGGAGCGCCTGGAAGCACTGAACTCGGGCGCGACTGGAGGCCCGCCTGCTGTCGTGCAGGTCTCGGGGCGGGCGTAGCGCCGCTCACGACATCACCCATGCTCTCACCCTCCCTCTTGGTCGCTCTCGCTGGATAACACAACGCGGTCTGACGTGCGGACAGACGCTCCTTTCTCCTTTCATGCTGGAACCCTATTCTATGCGCTCCTCCTTAATCCCCCCTATGCGGTCTTGGGCTCGTCTCCTCCTTCGGCTCCTCCGTTCGGTCTCGTCCCGCTTCGATGCAACTTCGATGTACTCTATATATCTCGGCGAAGGGTCCATAGTTCGCGTCGTCCCGCCTCCCGTCCCGTTCGTCTTCCCCATCTCGTCCCACGACCCCTACGCCCTCGCACCTTCGCCTCCCCCTCACTAATCCCGGCCCGGCGCACGGATGACGACTCTCGCTCCGGCTCGACGTGACGTGCGTATTTAACTCGGCCCCCCATCCCGTCCGATCCCAGAACGAGCGAATCAGAATCAGAATAGGAAGTTTACTCTGCTGCTACCACTTACCGGTATACCCTCGATAGCCTGTGTGCGTGTAATCGTCATTGACATTAGTTGCGAACCGAACGCTGGTGTGCCGGGCGTCGTGTCCTAACTTCGGCGGACCTCTGCAGCTCTGCTCTGCGCATCTGCACTCGAGGCCTGAGCTCGGGAGGTGCTGCTGGTGGCTGCGTGCGGTCTGGTTTGCTCGGGATGGTGTGAGCAGTTGTACAGGGCGGGGGCGGGAGTCCGTACATTCAGAAACTCACAAACAGGTAGGATGATCCCGCAGAGATACCATGAGTCCCTGACGTTTCCGTGCTCTGATTCGGAAGGGTCGACCGCGAGTCTGCCGGCGCGTAAGGTGAGTGCTGCGGTGCTTACTGGAGACTTCGTGATGCTGACGATCCGTCCGCGATCTGGGTGTACATAGGCTGCATATGCATGCTCTGCCGTGTCGTGTCTCCTCGTTGGACGATCCCTTTTCTTCCTTTCCGTCCCGTTTCACATGGCCCGCCGTGACCTCCGAGGACAGCGCTCGCTCGCCATGAGATCAGCCACTCGTACATCACCGTCTCGCCGACTTGCGGTGCGCACGCGACGCACTGTTCCAGTGTGATCCTGTGGCTTGCGACGCGTCCTCGGCGGCAGGTCTTACGAGGATGATGATGCACCGGCCAGCCTCGAGAGCATACTCACAGTGCCCGATGGAGACCCGCAGACATGACCTCTCGCACCGGAAGAGGCTTGCACGGCCTCCGTGAGACGCGGTGTGTGCGCGAGCTGCGTGTACCTCAGATGTAGGTGAGCGTCGCCATTACGCAGGGTTCGTTGCCTGTTGCTGCGTCCAGGTTCAGCTGGGTAACCGGGATTTGGTCCACGGCTGAGTATCAGCCATGTTCGATGCGGCCGGACCCAAGCTGGCGTTGATCATAACATCCGGGTGTCGGCGGTCGAGGTCGACTGAGGCGGAAGACTCGTCGACGCTCACCTGACTCACAGGTCTCTTCCCATCACACGGGAGCGCGAACATCCCTCGTTGCGCAGCAGCCAACCTGGGAGGTGCGAATCCGCGTTCCCTCTCCGGTGCTGCTGCGCGCTGACTCGTTTGTCGCTATAGTTTGGCGACTCGGCCCCTCGTGCGCATCCAGGCGGACGTGAAAGACGGCGGGGAGAGATGCTGGTGGTGGTTGCCTGCGGTTCGCTCGACGATCCGTGTTGTGCGGGAACGTGAGGGGCGCGATGCTGTACTGGTAGGACACCGGTCGGGCATGTGGGACGTTGTGCGAGTTGTCTGCGAGCATGTGTCACGGTGCTCGCTGGAACGTACGGCTTCGTGACGCGGACGGTTTGGTCTCGATCCGAAACAGGTTGCACGTTTGCGTCGTCCCCGCGTCGAGCAATCGCTGTACAGTCGTGCGAACCGCAGTTACGCGGGTGCGTACGCCCCGCTGCGCAGAAGTCTAGGAGGACAGGAACGGTGCGCATATAGACGGGAGTGTGGTAGCTGGAGCAGGGCGGGACGATGGCCCTGTCTCCGTGACTGCTGGTTGCGCTCGCGCTGGGTACTGAAGGGGCTTGCGGGGCGAGACGGGAGGCAGGCTGGACAGGGCGTGTCCCGCTCGTCTGGGATGGGTAGATCCGTTGTGGGTTTGGAGACGATGACGACCGTGGGACGCGTCGACACCGTCTGCGGGTGAGTCGGATGTCGAGCACGTCGGACTGGCGCACAGCAGAACCAGTCCGCATATCGAGACTCGGGCACCTGCGTACGCTCCGGGTGGCCATCTCAGATGCTGCAGCTCCCTCTCATGTACTTGCAGCGTGCGGACGACTCGACGGCGTGCGTCACCATGCTTACATCACCTCCTGTGCCCTTGCTTTCCCTCTTGTACATACCTCCCTCGCTCTCCAACGGCCTACTGACACCCGTCGTCTCGAAGAGCGTGCTCCCTCCACCCCCGACTCCGCCATCCGCGAGCGACGCGAGGCCCGAGCGCGCAACCCAAGACGAGCACAGCGCGTCGAGCCCCCGCAGACTGAGCTGAGCAACGTCGTACTGCGTTGGTCGGCATGACTACCCTCTGCCCTCACCGTCTGTCGCGACCGCCCTACGTCCGACATCGACTCCGCAACCGCCTGCACTAGAGGGTCACGCATTGGGCCTTGCCCTCCGCCGCACGCGCATCCCTCCGACACTGGACCATTCCAATGTATGCGCCGTCTGTCCCTGCCCCGGAGCACTTCGCTGCGAGCGTAGCAACGTGTGCGTGTGTGCCAGAAACCACAGCATCAGCGACACACTCGTGCTGATCCCTCTCCTCCGCCAATCTCAAGCACCCGCGGGCGACGCTGAGGCCTGAGGGCTCGCGCGTCCCACTCAAGGCATGTCGTGATCCGCGTGAGCCGCGTCGAGCCCCGCAGAGTGCGCCGAGCGACTCCTCTTATTCTAGTGCTCTACAACCTCGTCTGTTGCGACAGCCCTCTCGACGAGTGCGCATATATGCGCCAGTGGCGGGAGCCCAGTGCCAGGACCGTGCTTCACGGTGTCGTCGTGGTGTTGCCCCGCGACTTGGAGCTTTACCATATGTCGGCCAGGACTCGAAGGCACGCGTGAGCGACCGTCCTCCCACTGCGCTTGTCCCGCATGGCTGCACTGTGGTGGTGCAGACGACGACGCTCGTCCGAACCCGTCTACACATGCGTGTAACCGCGTCGCTGCGCGTCCTCTCCAGACTCCTCCGCTCGTTGCTCCGGGTCCGTCTGTATGCGCGTCCACTTGGATGGAACCGCTGATCCATATATTCAACTCGGGTGTGGCTGCCTACGAACACTGCCGTCACCGCGTCTACCAGTCCTGTGCCCCGCCCGCGGTGCGTCTTCAATTGCCCCGCTCGTCTCGAGCTCATAGCATGTCATTTGATACTTTACAGGTGTCTTGGACTTCGTCTATCCCCTCCAGGCTCCGTCCTTTACCGTCAGCTCATCAGCTTTTGCGATCGCCGCCGACCGAGGTCCCTAGTCGCGTGCGGATCCTCACGGATGTCCGTCTCGGACCCTGAGGGCGAGACCTTTCCCACATGAGGCGATGGTGTATGCACAAGTCTCTTCCGACCCGACAGAGCATCGGCGTTGTAGGCGGCGCAGGAGTATGAAGAACGTTCACGGATACCGACTCGGAATGATCCCCGCCTGCATCCCTCCCGTGGCTCTTCTTGCCTCCTACCATCGGCCACGCAGCTGCAGAGCACGTCGCAGCCAGCAAGAGACACGGAGGTGCGACGCTAGTGCGAGCGCGCGCCGTCGGGACGCCGCGTATCGTGTGCGTTTATAATCTTGCCTGGTGCGTCTTGGCTCCTCACTGACATGGCGTACAATCTAGAGTCCGAGTCAACTTGGATGGCGACAAAGAGCCTTACCACGACGTTCCAGCCGTACCTCGACGCGTCCCCCGTCCGACACCTTCCAGGATATGTAGTAGCACCCCGAGCCCATTCATCCTCGATAGAACCCGTCTCCCGCACGCCGGGGATGCTTCGCGTGCCTTGATTCCGCAGCAGCACTGCGATATGCGAGTCGTCCCCACGGCCGTTGGTGCAGATGCGCGAAGACGTGTCTATCCGCCGTCCAGTGCCGATGGAGGGAGGCAACCTGAAGTTGGGAGAGATAGGGAAGGTCGCCGCCGCGGCCCATAGTCTCGATCGTATGACCCCGCTCGATCAATCGCGATCCCCTCCGATTGACCGGGGATGCGGAATATACAATGAATGGCCCCGCAGAGTCCAGACGAAGCTCCAAAGCCTCGACGACGCACCTTTCCACCCTTTCTGGTCGTACATAACCTCATCCCCGGCTCTCAACCACTTCTGGTCATAACCTCATCCTCGGTGGCTGCGCAACAAAGTCTCTGTAACACGCAGCCGTGGCCACTCCACAACAGTGCCTGCCGCTCGCGTTTGATAAGTCGATACACCCGCCGAGAGGCAGCCGTCCGACGATACGCCGTCTTGCCCAAGGGGTTGCGTGGGTGACGACATGATAGCTGCGATACGACGCAACGGACCCAGAAGTCCTGTATTTGCGGCACCCGGTGAGTTGCCATGCTTGTACGAACAGTCGTCTTGGAGCAATTCTGACGCAACGTTCAGAGTCTTCCAGTCAAGCTGGTTCCGGTCGACGGTCGTCGAACAAGTCCAAGCTGTGGTTGAGTTGTGGCTGAAGACTTCGCGAAAGCGTGGATGGAGATCGACAGGCGGATCTGGCTAAGCGCGGGATAGCGGGCCCGCGGCATCAACGCGGCAAAGAGCAGGACCTCCTCCACATGGACGGAGGCACACGAGCCTCTCCATTTCCTCTCTCTCTCTGTGGCCTCGACATGCCAATCTTGCAGATAGGGTCCATGATCAACCTTATGAGTTTGAGCTCCATGCCGTGAGTACGGATCCCTGCACCTGCCGTCGTTCCTACGCTAACTCTCCCGGCCAGATACAGCGCAACTCTCGCCGCGGAAGGCTTGCGCTCCGTTGGCCACGGCTCTTGATATGCTAACTTGGGAGCCGCGCTGGCGCGCCATGGCCACGGTGATGAGTCTCTTATCGCTTACGGTGCTTCTGCCGCCCTATAAGACCGGTCATGCGTGCACTCCGTCCCTAGCTTGCCACCGAGCGCTCGCCTCTTGCTTGCCTCAGCTCCACCATGGCCTACAACGGGCACACAGGCGTCGACGGCCTCGTCGACGCGGAGAAGGTCTCCGTCATGGAGCAGATCCACAAGCAGGACTCGTACGACGAGAAGAAGGGCTTCAGCGAGGACGTCGTCGACGTCCCGAGCGTCGACTACGACGGCGACGACGCCCAGCTGCTCGACCTCGGCACGGACGACCCCTTCCCCGCCGATCCGAACGCGCAGGTCGAGCAGCAGTTCACGTTCCGCGCGGTGTTCGTCGGGTGCATGTTGGGCGCCGTCATCTCGGCGAGCAAGTACGTGGGGGCCTTCCTGGTTGGTGAGCGTGGACTGACCTAACGTGTTTCTAGTGTGTATCTGGGCCTCAAGACGGGGTGGACGTTCGGCGCGTCCATGTTCGGGTCCATCTTTGGCTTCGCCATCCTCAAGCCGCTCTCCAAGGCGCTCCCGGAACGGTTTGGCGGAGGGTACTTTGGCCCCAAGGAGAACGTCTGCTGCCAGAGCGCGGCGACGGTGCGTATCCGAGCGTCCCTTTGTTGCCATCACTCTTGACTTGGGATCACACAGGCGGCGGGTTCGCTCGGCCTGCTGTTCACCTCTGGTTTCCCCGCAGCATACCAGCTTGGCCTGCTCGGGGCGAACCCCTCTGAGGACTTCGGGTGAGTCGCGAAGCGCACATTCCTGTCTTTGCATGATGTGACACCGCGGATCCGCCAGGCGTCTCATCACGTTCACGATCTGCTGCGCCTACGTCGGCATCTTCTTTACCATGCCGCTCCGCCGGCTGTACATCCTCAAGCTGAAGCTGACCTTCCCGAGCTCGGTCGCCACCGCGTACACCATCCGCTCGCTGCACGTCGGGAAGGACGCCGCTGCCAACGCGCGCAAGAAGACGTGGGCCCTCGTCGTCTCGTTCTTCGTCTCCATCTGCTGGAGGGTCACGAGCGAGTATGCGCCAGGAATCATGTGGGATTGGCACTGGAGCTGGTGGTTCTACCGTGCCGGCTGGGAATGGATTATCTGCGCCGAGTCCTGGGTATGTCTCCGTTCTCTCTTCCATGTCAGCGTTCTGAGCAATTCCAGGGCTGGATATGGGAGTGGACGCCCGCCTTCATCGGCTGCGGACTCCTCGTTCCTATGAACAGCTCTGCCTCGTTCGTGGGCGGTGCTGTGCTCGCCTGGGCGATCATCGGCCCTGCGCTGGTGGCGACGAACCGTGCCTTCGGCGAGCCCATGTCGCCACTCTACCCAGGCTACCTCGACTACTCCAACATGGACCTCCCCGACCCCGTCCACCGGCCCTCGCCCGAGTACTGGATGATCTGGCCCGGGTGCATGCTCCTTCTGACGTCCAGCGTCGCGGAGATTGCGGCGAACTACAAGACGATCGTGACCGCGTTCAGCGTGCTGCTCGAGCCGGCCGTCATCAAGGTGCGGCGGCTCGCGAACCTGCGCGAGAGCAGCGTGCGGTTCGAGAAGGAGGACGGGTTCTACGACCCGGTCCCGCTCGAGGAGCAGACGCCGTGGTGGATGTGGACGGGCGGGCTCGTGCTCAGCACGATCCTCACGATGCTCGTCATGAAGTACCAGTTCGACCAGAACCCCGGTATTACCCTCCTCTCGATCTTCTTCGCGTTCATATTTTCGCTCGTCGGCGCGGAGTGCGTCGGGCGCGTGTCCGTGAACCCCGTTACCACCCTGGGGAACTTCTCGCAGCTGGTGCGTGTCCGCCACGTTGGGATCGGCGTGTAGATTCTGATTGACGTCGTGTGCAGATCTTTGGTGGGATCTCGAAGGGCTCGGGGCTCTCCCCACAGCGGAACGAGCTGAACAATGGGCTCACCGGGATGATCACTCTCGCCGCCGCGGAGCAGTGCTCCGACATGCTCGGCGACCTGAAGGCGACGCACCTGCTCGGCGCGTCCCCACGCGTACAGCTCTACTCCCAGTGCTGCGGCGCGCTCGTCTCCATATTCCTGAGCACGGCGATGTACGTCGTCTTCAGCAAGGCGTACCCGTGCATCAACACGCTCTCCTCGTCCACATGCGAGTTCGCCGTGCCCGACGTGAAGAGCTGGCGCGCCGTCTCCATCGCCGTGTCCTCTTCCTCGCTGCCGATCCCGCTGTCGTCGGGGATCACCGCGCTCGTGTTCATGGGCATGGTGCTCGTCAGCACGTTCCTCAAGTACCGGTTCGTCCCCGCGGGCAAGCAGCACTGGGTCCCGAACTGGAACGCGGTCGGGATCGCGTTCGTCCTCGGGCCGTCGAACACGTACCCCGTCGCGATGATGTTTGGGTCGCTCGTCGCGTTCGTGTGGCGGCGCCGCTGGCCGAACGCGTGGTTCTTGGTCGGGTACGCGATTGCGGCGGGGATGATCGCGGGCGAGGGCCTGGGCGGGATCGTGAATGCGGTGTTGCAGATCGGGAAGGTGAGCGGGAACCTATATGGGACCGCCGTGGGGTGCCCGATGAACGCCTACTGTGGATGAGGGTGGGCAGTATTGTCTATAGAATGTCTCCGAGGTGACGACTAGCTACGTAGTACACGAGGACCGCATGTATCAGTATAGATTGTTGTTAGAAGGACTCCCGATCACTTATGAGATGGACTGTGATGACTTGTGTCGAATGACAGTCGGTAGGTTGAGTCAGGATGATGTGGAACACATCACCGGTGGGAATTCACGAGATTTCGCTCCTGCAATACCTCACAGGCTGATAGGCAAAAGGGCACCCGACAGTGAAGCTTTGAAGTCTTATTCGCGGAGGACGACTTTGTCATCGAGTTCGGAAAGTATGACGGGGAGATGTTCAGTCCACCGACAACCAGGTATGTTATAACCCGATCACATGCCCAAAGGCCATATTCCGCCAAATAAGTGCTGCTCGTTGGCGTCTCAGTATGCCCTGCTGAATGCCGGAAGCATTGCCTCGGTGTTGACCCTTCCCTAGTTCAATAGCGTCTGACGTCGCATATCGCGCGATGTCCTTGAAGTCTCTGCAAAGAGGTCGTCATTGTACACAAGGCTCGTGCGCATGAACGTTTGAACCCTTGCTACTGGCTGGCCCAGCGCCGGGATATTGTCTATCCACGTCCTGTGAACATGTCTGCGAATCCTGGAAGAGCCAGAGAATGCCTCCGAGATACATTCCCAAGGAGCATTGTCAGATGACAGGACGATGACTGTGCGAGGCCGGGATAGGTAATGAGTCCGAGGAGTAGATACAAGAACACGGACTCGGAGGGCTGTTGGGAATATGTATCTGACGATCCCTGCGTGTTACTCTTCGTAACTGAGCACTACCGCTTAGGTGTTAACACAAGCTCTCCGTTAACCGTTGGACGATGGGTGCATTACCGGACACCGACGTGATCGTCTTCTACGACATTCCGAGCGACACCCCCAGCAAAGCCTGGTCGCCCAGTACCTGGAAAACGAGGTCAGCACAATTCTACCCTCATGCGGTCCTTCACTCACGTATGTGGTCTAGGTACGCACTTAACCTCAAAGGCTTGCCGTACCGTACACAGTGGGTAGAGTACCCCGACATCGCGGCGCTGCTTCAGTCCTTTGGACTCGAGCCGACTGACCCGGGCACAATCCTGCCATACACGCTCCCCGCGATTTACGACCCGCGCACAAAGCGCGCCGTCGCTGAGAGCGCGAAGATTGCGGCATATCTGGATGATACCTACCCCGATACGCCGGCGGTGTTGCCGAAAGAGCTGCGCGCGTTCCAGGTACATTCATCCCCTGTCCTCATCACGCACCCTATTCCTTCACATGCGGCGTGCCACTGACGCTCTCGTCACTGTTGTAGGCTGCCTTCCAGCACGGCTTTGGCACGGTCGTCCAGCCCGCAGTCTTGCCCCTCTTCCTCCCGCGCACGCTCCCCATCCTCACGCCGGCCTCGCAGCCCTACTTCCGACGCACGCGTGAACAAATGTTTGGAACCAAGATGGAGGAGATCTGTCCTCCGCCCCAGTACGCCGCGCAGTGGGCCGAGATTGAGCGCGCGTTCGGCGTCCTGGCCGGGTGGATGGACGACGCGGGGGATGGCCGGTTTACTATGCTCGGCGGAGCAGTAACGCATACAGACCTGAGCGTTGCGGGCTGGCTGGTGTGGATGCGGATCGTGACTGGGAAGGAGAGCGAGGAGTGGCGCGCGCTGGAGGGCTGGCATGGGGGCCGGTGGAAGAGGCTGATGGATTTGGTGGAGCCGTGGTATGACTACAGTCGGTGAATTGCTGAAGCGTGGCGCAAATGATACGTTAAAGGGATGTCAGAAGTGAACACCGGACCTGTTAAACAAACCATCAGGCTGATTGAGGTCGGTCGCATGGCGCCGCCGACTCTTCCCGCAGTTGCCGATAGCTCAGTTGAGAAGCATGAAGACCACCGGCCAACGTCTGGATCCCATGCTTTCATGGCTCGGGCTTGAACAGCAATATTGGATTTCGGCATTTCAAGACTACAGCTCGTTCGCTTTATAGCGACGCTCTGTATACATCGATTAATCATCGCAGATTCGCGGAGCTCGCCAGTCAGTTAGAGCTCAAGTCAATTGCGTTCCTCGTCGCTTGACTGTCATTTGCCTAGCAGGGACCAACAGCGATGCACCCACAAGCATCACGATCTGCACGGATCGTCTGTCATCAAGTCAATCATGCGTGGCGCAACACTCACCCCGCTGAAAATGATGGCTTTATACCAGTACGTGTTGTCGGACCCGAGAAGCGCGCCGTCGATGGGCGTTCCTACTAGAATCGGGAATGACGTTGCGAAGAAGAGCATGCCGATGCGAAGTCTAGAATGGATTGAGTATGAATGTGAGACATTGAAGGTCAAGGCACGTGGACAGTAGAAAAACGACGAGGGAAGAGAGGCTCACCCTGTCTCGTCCTCGGTGCGTGCGAGGATTCCCATAGCGGGAGGAATTAGCGCATTGGCTGTCCAGGTTGACGTAGTGAATATGCGAGAGGTCAGATGTTGGTATGAAGGAACGTACCTGATCCAGTGGCAAAGCCGTACAAGATACTGAATATGATAACCGCGGGTACGTTCGTCACACCGAACATCGCGAAGAGGAGGATCCCACAAGAGTAGAAGATCGGGATGATCATGTTGTATGGCCCCACGTAGTCGGCGACAAAGTTGGGAATGATTCGCCCGAACACAGAGCCGGCGTTGAGGATCGATATCTACGGAGAGTCATTGAGCGTCGAAAGGGGTGGAAGACAGGCGGAACATACCGTGTAGAAGGCGAGGTCCTCAGACATGCCATGCAGACGCACCCAGAGTTGGAGGTAGAAGTCTTGTGCGCTGTATCAGCACATCCGAATCGTTGTACAGAACACAACTACCACGTACAAGGGAAGTACATCCCGAAGAAGAATATAACGGTGCTTCAAAACGATCAGCATCATGAGAGATGGTTAGGGTAGAAGTCACTCACGCGATTACCGTCAGTATATACGGCGGATCTACCATGACGGTTTTGATCGGCACTTGACCTCCGGTTTTATTCTTCGTACCAGGGAGACGAGTCTTCATGATACAATTTGCGACTACGAGAAGGACAAGCATGAGAAAGGCAACTGCGCGCGTGCCCCATGCAAATCCCGCCGGGCCGTTGAACAGTCTGTTGAGCATGATCGGCATCACAACGCCACCACACGACGAGCCTGATAAATCGACTGTCAAGTTCGTTGTAAAAGAGAGCTCAATAAGGAGTAAAACCTGCTTGGACAAGCCCGAGAGCGAGTGCACGCCGCTTCTTCCAATAGTGCGACTGAAGGCAGAGTGCAGGGGTCGTGGTCAAGCCGCAGCCGACGCCCATGAGAAGACCTTGTGTTAGTACCAGCCCGTAGTATTGGCTCGGGTCGCAGATGGAAAGCATGAACACTCTGCGGGAGTGAATAAGTACCGCCACGATGCTAGCGATATGCGTATGCTAACAGTGTACTTACGATAGGAGGATGAGGAACGAGCCGACAAGGAACTCATGCCGGAAGTACCCTTGGTCGAACCATCTTCCGGAAAGGATACCCATCCCAAAGAGTAGGAAGAGCTGAGAGGCGATCAGCATCATATTGGTAAATGTATATATGACATAGCGTACTTGCAAAGAGCCAATCCAACTGATATCGGATGACGTACCGGCACCCGCTTGAACGAAGTAGTCTTGAAATACCCCGAATGAGGTGGAAAATCCAAAGGTACAGAACGTGGTACACGATCTGCAATGCAGTATGGGTGAGCTTATGAGACGTATGCAGTCGAATCGAACATTTCGCTGAACGTACCCTCCTAGGACAGCCATCCAAGCCCACAGGCCGCCGTCGGGGATAGGATTTAGCTCATCCGAGGAGCATGTCGACTCAACCGCGTCGACAATCCCTTTCTCGTCGACTTCTGGCGTAGTCGGCGATTCGATCACTGAGTCCTCGTGCTTCGTCGACATCCTACGTAGTACAAGACAGTGAGCGCGAGGAAAACGTGAAGATAAGTGAAGGCATGCCTTGGTAGCTAAAGTGGACTGTCTTGATCAAGGTCCGGGTGTACAACATAGTTCCGACGTAGTATATGACCGCGCGGCCGTGTACTGTTTCCGATTGTCTATGCGTCACGTCGACCAGCTCCTCTTTTTCGAAGCTGGAGGCTCACTGGTTCATTGGTAAAGCACTACCGACGGGAACCCGTTCTTGTTTCTCCCGTAGGTCATCTGTCGTGGAGTTGAAGGTCCACTGATCATCTGACCACCCGTAGCATTCAGCTCCTGGTGAGAACGGGGGCTAAATGTGAGCGCATCTATTCTGTACAGAGCGCAATGCTCAGCGAGTGTGCTTCGGAGACGCATTTGCGCAGCAGCTACACACCTGGTGATGAGTCTCGGGAGAGCTAGTGGGCCTGGAGTGGTGGACACCGACGAACTGGCTGCACTTCCTTCAACTTAGGGAGCTTTCCGACGCTCAACAGGAGTATCCGAAGGCCAGATCCCGCAGTTCTTACCGCAATGTGGCTTCTATCTTGCAGAAGCAACACTGAGTGGACGTCCGACATCCACTCGAGACTTACTGCCGGACAAAGAGCAAGCCTGACAGCTCGATGGCGGAGGGCCGACGGCAGAGTCCTGAAAGTCGAGGTTGTTAAACTTACTACAGAAGGGACCTTCGCAATCTGTAGTATCGACACTAAGGTCATAATGCTCATGCGTCACAATCAGACTAACTGCCCTATGACGTACCTGGGTGTCAATGGTAGGTACTCGAGGGTTTGGCGTTCAAGCACGAGTAGTTCAATCTGCCGCAGGCGCGCAGACGTGATGGTTGCCATCGCTGAACTTCATTTGCCAGCTAGCAAAGTCTAAGGCATTCAGCATGATGCGCGCGCTCACTCAGGATGAGAATTTGAACGTACACAATAGTAGCCTTACGTTACCACGTCCCATACTCGTAGAGCAATGACACGAGGTGATTAACGTGCTGCGCAACCTCAACCAGTCGTTTTAAATGAAGCGAAGTGTTGCCTATACTAGAGGGTAAGCCAGCATGTCATGGCGTGTAACCAACGTGTAACAGGTTTGTAGCAGGCGCGCCCGCCACATGCTTATGTCAGCAAGTAGATACATCGCCGCGCCAGCCTGTAGTACCGTAGTGTTTCACCTTTCCAACACCATTATTTGAGTCTATCCCAAGCCCGTTCTCGCTCGTTCTTCCCACTCCGCGCGACCGCAGCCACAACGACCACCCGAGTCGACCTTGCCCATTACAAGGTTGCGGTGTGACGAGCGCTTAGTGACTGTACTTGAATCATGAACCTGCCGGACGTCAATTACCCTACGACTGGGATTCTCAAAGCCACCAAAATAGAGGACATAATACTTTACAGCCAGTGATACACAGAGTATCAATTACAGCGTTGATGAGTATAAGTCTAATTTTGTCATGGATATGCCGCCATACTGAACTGCCACACAATCGTACAATCGTTAATAGCATCCACGCAACGTCTACGTCTAGACGTCACTTCAATCGTATACCAGCTTTCGTAGTATCAAGTCGGGGGCGCGTTGACCTCCTCGTCCGAGTCGCTTGTCGAGGTGTAGGTCGCGGCCTCTCTGACAGGCTTCCAGTCCCTTCCAAAGTACTGATCGCCTCGCGCGCCTCATCCTCACACCATTTTTGCAAGAGAAGATCGAGAAGTTCAGGAACTCCCGACTCTGGTCTCCGTAGATGCGCCAGGATCCCCGAACGGAACCTCGAGTCGGTCGAAATGTATCGCAGGTCAGCCATCATTGTCAGGACCGTCTTGATCGACTTGGGCGGGTTGAACACCGCAGAAGCGACCCGCAGCGCCGCGATCATCTGCTCGCCAACGGCCCACGCGGAGTGGTTGTCGAAGACGAACTCATCCACGGGGGGCACGATCGGCGTGGGCACGCCAGAGTTGAGGATGGTGAACCGGCACGCGGCGCCGTACGCGACGCGGTGAATCGCTATCCTGGTTTCGGGGTCGCTGTGTCTATGGTCATGGCTGCACATGAACTGGAGTATCTCGAGGGTGGAATGAGTGATCTGCTCGCGGTCGATCTTGAGCGGGCCCAGATCTGTGGGGCAGTAGTAGCCGAGGAATCCAGACACGCGGACGACACGTCTCAGCAGGCGCAGCGAGTCTTGTAGGGAGAAGGAACCGTGCTGCCAGCTCGCCGCTGCCTGACTGTCATCGCAGTTCCAGGAGTCGAGTAGCTCCGCGTGTAGTTCCTGCAGAAATGTAGGGTACCGCGTAATCAGCGCCTCTATCAGCTTGATACGATCCGCCTCTTCGAGCTTGTCGGACGACCGACCAGGAGCATACGTTGAGTACAGCAACTCCTCGAGTACTACGAGCATTGCGTGGAGCATCACGGGATGCTGCTTTCTCGGTGCGAGGACGTTGCTTCTCAGGGCATCCAACAGCCGGTCCGTGCGTCGCACCTGCGTGATGAGCAAGTGGAAGTCGTCAAACTTGGGAATTAGTCTACGCTCGGGAATGGAGAGCACGCAGAGGGCCCAGCAGATCTGGCGAAGGAGCGCAAAGTCCATGCCGGGATTGTGTAGCACGAGTGAAGCAAATGCGTCGAGAGCGCCGTGCTTGTGCTCAAGGCGTGCGGAGACAACCTCGGTGGGCTTGGTCCACTGGGGAGGGTCGATCACGCGCGTGGCAACGTAGATGGTGGTGTTGACGATTGACATCCTGTCTTCGCTCTCCAGTGTGTTCAGCCTCTTGAACGGCATCAGGCGAGCGTAGTACTCTTTCACAGACTCCTTTAAGTTGCCCGAGTACCACGTGAGAGGGAAGGCGACGAGCTGCAGCCGGAGTCTATGCGAGAACAGGATGATGTCGCCCGGGATCTCCTCCACAGCGTCCTCGTCGATACAAGAGAGCCGCATCGTCCGGAGGGCGAGGTCCGCGTTGAGCGACATGGTCTCCTGCGGTCGCTTGTACGTCCTCGGCAGGCCCCAAGGCGTCGGGATCGCCCTCGCGTCATCGTCAACCACCTCCGTGAGAAGCCTCGCGAGGGCCCTCTCCACGAGCGCATACTCGTTCTGCACGGAGGACTTGAGGTCGTCGAACTCGAACTCCTCGAGCCAGCGGAGCCACTGGGTGAGGAAGCGCACGGAGCCCGCGTCGATGAAGAGGTTGCGGTACGCGACGAGGTGCGGGAAGCGCGCGATGGAGTGGGCGAGGAGCTCCGCGTCCTGGTCCGTGAGGCCCATCTGGAAGGACTCGACCATGCGCGAGAGCACCTTGGAATCCATCAACGCGGCGTTGCCGAAGATGTAGTTGATCTCGCGCGAGTGCGAGTCGACGAGCGGCGCGGCGTACGCGCGCATGATGTACTCCGTGCGCAGGATGGGGCCACGAGCGGGATAGGCCAGAGAGGGTGGAATCTCGATGCCGCAATAGGAGATCATGCGCAGGAGCGTGCGGTAGCCCTTGACCAGCGGGTACGTGATCTTCCAGGACGTGTAGATCGACCTGCGGAGGAACTCCCAGGTCCACGTCGTAGGATCGACCGACGTCCTGTATGGGCAGGTGGACGAGAGGTGTGAGAGGACGTAGGTACCGATGTAGATACCGACCGTCAGTCCGATGAGCACCGTCGCGACGATGGCGACAGTGGTGTTTGTCGCCCAGAGGAAGTCAATGAGGCCCGCAAAGAAAAGGAGAAGCGACATGTGGAGAAGGAGCGGTAGACACTCGAGTGCGGAGGAAAGATTCCACGCGCGTGCGTTGTCGTATCGGTACTGAAATTGCCGCCCGCGACCCTCGACCGACGGGTGAAGGTCCCCGTCGAGGCTCGCGAGCCATTGTTTGGCGAGGATGGTGAGGAAGGCGACGGACACACTGACGACGAGACTTGCGAACCAGAATGTGTTCACGCGGACGGCGTAGTCCTTCGGAATGAACGCGCGGGTTGATGATGCAACGAACGTTGTTGATGCCTGGACCGGCTGAAGGGTTCCGTTTGTATGCAGCGAAGCGATGATTTGCTGCAGTAGATCGACTGTGGCTTGACCGGAGTCAGGGCGAAGGCTCGGATATGAGAGAACTACGAATGCGGTGATGACGGCAGAGAAAAGGGTTGCCTGCACATTTGGTTTAGTCGCACGAAGAACTGCATATAGCCAGACGGCAGCACGCACGAAGAGGAGGAGCGAGTCCATCTCCTTGTTCCATTTTTCGACGAATTCTGCGCGCCACCGCGATGCTTGGTCGTTGTAGACCTGCCATACATTATGTCGTATGTCCGACTTAAAAGTATATATTCAGCCTGGTGAGGCACTAGACGCAAGAGGACACAACTCACATTTGTGGGGAGATCGGCCTCCTCTGGAAGCTATGGGAAAGTGGCATATATTCAATTAGTATTTATCAGCGGACGGAGGAAGGATTGGGTCACCGTTGATTGGTGTGCTGACATGTCAGGTCGCCGAGGAGGGGGGGTACGAGAGGGTGACATCCTCATGGGCAACCCCTATGAAAACTGTTAATTGAGCACCACATCGATCACCGGATTACATGCCTCTATGAGGGGAACGGGAGAAAGGCGAGATCGGTTGAGGGCTGACATTGAGTCCTAAGGGGGGACGTTCAATGACAGTCGTGTTCATCGGCGAAGCATCCTGGAGGGCACACTCGTCACTCACCATGCAGCTACGATTCCTAACGTTGAAAGGTATACACGGGCTCGCTCGAGCGCAGCGCCATTGTTAAAGGGTCTTCATGAATGCATCAGCGCGCGAGCCACATAACTTGTCCACTGTCATACCGACCGCCACAGCGAGCGATACGTCGTGTGAGTGTGGCCCGCGCGTCATCCTCGCCCCATTCAGAAACTAGACTGATGCATGGAAGCCGTCCATTCACAGTCTACTTCGAAATGTCAGTTGCTTGGACGAGGCCTTACTCAATACAGGTCCAAAGCCGGCTGCCCCTGGTGGCATAAAGCAGCATGCTGAGTCAACGCGATCGCGAGTCAACTGCCATGGACCATACTGACCGGTAGGACGACACCTACGTGGCAGACGGTGTAGAGCGTACATATAGCTCACCTTCCAAGTTAAGCGTGTGCGACCCAGAGTATGGCCTGGGATATTCCGCGGGGCTAGGCACACATCGGGGGCAGGCCGGTGATGGCTGGAAAATTCCGCACAGATCCTGTACAGACGTTCACGTATGTGCTGTCTTTCGCCGGCCGGTACCTCCGCATTTAGCAGAAGATAGAAAGCAGACGCGCTGCACAACAGAGTTCAGTGAACATGCATCAGTCAGCCGCGGTCAAGTACGGGAGGTTCTCTGGTGTGACCGTTCAGTCAGAAGGCCGCCGCGGACATACGCAGGTGGACAATATCACTTACCACGTAGACGTTCGATACCATCCAGTGCAATGGGACGATGCAATGGCGGCTATCCGCAGCATGATGCGATGTCGATGTGAGTGGGCCAGCTGTGCGACCGGAGTGGGATGAATGGACGATCCTGTGCAAGCCTCGCATGCCCTTGTGTCCTACGGTATGTTGTGCAATGACCTTGCTGTGCCAAGACTCAAAGTCACGGTAAGTGTGAGCGACCTTGCCATAGAGTCATGCACATGAACGTGAAGTTCGTGGACCTGAGAAGCACTCAGCGCAGTGGCGGTAATAGCCTGAGGGCGCCGATGTCACGCCATGACTAAGCACCCTAGCAAGCGTCAGAGGCCAAAGGGCTGTGTCACCGTAAACATTCTGTCAAGTCGGATGCGCCAAGGAATCGACTGGGTTTGCGAGTTGAATAAGATACAGGTATGATCGGTAGACAAGCGTACTCCTGTTGCCCGGTGGGAGGATAACAACCTTCAATGAGGAGATGATACTGACTCGTGACCAAGCGCAATGAACCTGAGGAGTGGAAGCCAGTGCGTCAGTACGACCTCTACCACTGGTACTCGACAACGGTCCATATCAGACATTCCCTGCAGCACCTGGCACAAACGATGGTGCGAGTACGTATGCGTTTCCGACGCTCTCAGCCTCCCAACGTGCGTAATAGTGCGCAGCGTCGACAAGTGGTTCATCGGCTGCGCCATTGGACGACTCCTCTGGTTCGGCCAGGTCTGTTACCGCCAGAGCTCCCAGAGCCCTCTGAGCTTCGGAATGAAGTCCCTTGTCCCGTAGAGAGGCGAGGTGATGGATGCGCTCAGGGTCGTTGGTTGGATCTCGAAGATAGGACAGCAGCTCAATAGCATACTTTGCCGACTGGGGGAGCTCCGGTGAGTCGGCCGCTCTCGGTACTCCAGCAAGAGACTTGAACCTCAGGTCCGCGATCATCGTTAAGACCGTACTGATTGACTCCGGTGGCTCGACGACGGCTGATGCGGTTTTGAGAACCAGGTCCATCATCTCGCCGATCTGCTGAGGCGAATAGCTATCGAAAACGAAAGCATCGGGCGGAGGTACCATCGTTGCGTCTTGTGCGCAGTCTAGGAGGGCGAATCGACACGCCGCACCGTAAGCAGTGCCATAGATGTGTTCCCAGGGGCCCTCGCTTTTGTGATTGAACGAACAGACGAACAGAAGGAGTTTGCGCGTATGGATCGCAATGTACTCCTTGGTTTTCACCGGTATGTCGAGTCCTCGAGGTGAGGGGTAGTGTACTATGCATCCCGATATACGAACTATGCGCTTCAGTAGACGGAGCAGGTCTTCGGGAAGCAGGTTCGCGAAGTACGGCTGGAAATCGTCGTTGTGCTGCCGCCTGGCAGTGGTCATGATAGAAGCAAGCTTCCGGAGGAAGGTAGGATACTTCGTTATCATACGCTCCAGGAGACGCATTCGGTATGTTTCTTCTGCCGTGGGCTGGTTTTGTACGCTCATCGACGTGCTGACAGATCCAGACTCGGAATGCCTGTCGTAGAGGAGATCTTCGATCAATACCAGAGTAAGGTGAAGCATAGAAGGGCGTTCCAAGTCCCTCGCAGTAGATAGTATGCGCTCGGGCGTCAGGGAGGAAGCTTCGCCTTGTGCCTGGGTAATCAGGAGATGGAAGTCGTCAAGCTTCGGGACCAAACGGTGTTCCGGCATGGAAAGAACAGCCAGGACCCAGGCGATTTGGCGGATGAGAGGGAACTCCATGCCGGGGTTCCGCAGAACCAGCTCTGCAAACATATCGACCGCCCTCCGTTTGTAGTCCGCACGAGTCTTCATCACGTCGTCTCGAGAGGTATTGTCCAGCGGAAGGTCGATGACACGAGTTGCTACGTAAATCGCAGTATTGACGATGGACATGCGGAACTCGGGTTCGAGGTCTTTCATCCCTCGAAACACTGCCAGTCGAGCGCAGAAGTCTTCTACGACGGCCCTCAAGTTGACTTTGCCTGTGTACCATGTCATGGACGATGCGACGAGTTGGAGCCGGAGTACGTGGGAGAACTGAACAATGTTCACTTGGTCCTCGCTGGCCGGAAGACTTACGGTCGTCTGCGATAACCGAAGCCTTTTTAGGGCAAGGTCGGCGTTCAGAGACATAGTCTCCTGAGGTTTCTTGTATCTCCGGAAAGGTCCTTCTGCCACGAGCCCTGTCGTGGCACTTCCGTCCTCGACCTCGGTAAGAAGTTGGGCAAGAGCGCGCAGAATGAGCGAGTATTCGTCTTGCATTCGCCGCTTCAGCTTAGGAAGCCCGCACTCGGAGTCTTCGATGTAGTGTAGCCACTGGCTCAAGAAGCGCACTGTGCCCGCCTCAATGAAGATGTCCCTATACCGGACGAGGAGCGGATATCGCGAGATTTCGTGGGCCAGCATTCTAGCGTCGTCGGTCGTGATGTTTGGTAGAAATGACTGGACCATTCGGGCCAGCATGCGCGCGTCCACGAGCTCGCGATGGTCCGATATGTAGTTAGACTCCCGGGAAACAATATCAGTTTCGAGCTCGGTGTCTGCGCGCGCTATGTGCTCGTTGTGGAGGGTTGCGATACGCTCAGCGAACGCGGACGGGATCTTCATTCCATAATAGCCGGATAGATGTCGAAGAGTGCGATAGAGCCACAATACGGGGTATGCGATCTTCCACGAGGTGTAGGGTAATCGGCGGATGAACTCCCATGTGACAGTTGTCGGGTCCACCGACGTCCTGTAAGGACAGGTCGCTGAGAGGTGGGATAACATGTACGTGCCGATGTAGATGGCGAACGTAACACTGACGAACACCGTCGCCACGATTGCGACGACTGTGTTGGTTGACCATAGAAAGTCGAGGAGACCGATGAAGAAAAGGAGTAATGATATGTGGAGGAGTATGGGAAGCCACTCGAGCGTAGTGGCTAGCTTCCACTCGTGCGCATTGTCGTAGCGGTACTGAAATTGTCGCCCGCGCGCCTCGATAGACGGGTGCAAGTCTCCGCCGAGACTGGCGAGCCATTGCTTGGCAAGTATTGTGAGAAAGGCCACGGATACGCTGATGACTAGGCTAGCGAACCAGAAAGCGTTGACACGAATGGCATATGCTTTGGGCGCGAATGATGTGTCGCCAGGTATCGATGCTGCAGTGTCACTTCCAGGTTGTCCAGTTTGGTTCTGGCGAAGAGCGTCCAGTATTTGGTTGAGGACGACGAGAGAGGCGGCGCCAGAGTCAGGGTGGAGCGCAGGGTAGACCAGGACGACAAAGGCAGTGACGACAGCCGAGAAAAGGGTCGCCTGGTGGAAGCAAATGAGTGACAGGAACATATCGAGATGAACTGGACTACGAACAAACAATAGGAGAGAGTCCATTTCCTTGATCCACTTCTCGATAAAGTCGGTACGCCACTTTGACGCCTCTTTAACGTAGAGATTCCATACTCTTGGTTGCACAACTGACTGGCAATGAGTCGTTGTACGTCAGACAGGTATGTCCAAAGTGCAGATCTCCCGGTAACGTACGGTTGTGGGCACATCATCAGCCCTAGGAATGCTCGACGTTGAATCGTTCTGGAAGTGGTACTTCAGCATACGCAGGAGTCCTTGATAATGGTTGGCTCACTGAATTTGCCAGTTTCATGGGTGGTGCATACACGCGTTCCGAGTGTTGTAGCTGATTATCTGGACTTGACTCTGATAGCTGCATAGAAATCTCATAAATTGAGTGGAGGCTTAGCAAACCGTCTGCGACTCACCCGATGGTTTGGAGACGGCATTCCGGATCGCGACTCCTTCGGAGCTGGCATTGTGCTACGTCTCTTTCTGAAGAAGCGGTGTGAACCTATCGCCCACAAATGCTAGCGCCCCATGAAAGGTATTGGATCGCCGTACTCACGTTTGACCGTAGCGTTGGACAGCACTTCTCGACGCGGATTATGATGGGCTTGATATCATATTAAAGGCTATGAAGAGCGTCATTCAAAGCTCCTTATTTCATCGCATAGGCGCGAATGTGGTCTGGCGTCATCGCATGTGTCAAGCAGCGTGATGTGGATGCATTGAAGGCGTGAAGGCAACGACGCAGTGGGAACCCTAGCACAAGAACGGTCGTGCTTAGAAAGATCCAATGAAAAACGGCAGGGATTACGAACCTCGAGGCCGACCGTTGCGAGCCGGTGGCGAAACGCAGGCTCTGCCCATTGGCATATGTGGGCTGATTCCTCGGACGACTGCGGGATAGCGCGCTAACGACGATACTCGCACGTTCCTTATACTACTAGCATGCCCACTTGTGTCTTGTGGTCAGTATGTAACCCGCGTCAAGGTAACTTAGTTAGCCTCTCCGTTTGGAACCGATAGGATGACAGTATATCGGAGACATGGTAAGCGCACATAGTAAGAAACAGTGTAATGCTTGAAATCACCAATGCTGGGGCCGAATTCGACAAGGACTTGCGTAGGCAGACACCGTCAGCAACACTATATGTCGGGGAGATGTGGAGAGACGTGCGTCGTTGTGATCTTCAAGAGTTGGCTGCCAAGCTAAGATGACTTGCTGAGTCATGCAAGGAACATCGACGAAGACTTGCAGATTCTTTAGCAGGCGGGCACTATGTTTGACGACCCTATTACTTTGGAAGTTCTCGATGGCGAAAAGACTGAAACAGCAATTGTCAGCCGCGGCCATGGAACCGTGTAAGACCCAGTGATGTACCGTGGTCCGCCAGGAACTTGGTAAATGCGGAAGTGTGCGTCAATCTGGATGAAATATGCCAGAAAGCCACACACGCGTCCCTTTCTCAGTCGGATCTAGTGTTCAAGACTTGCGTGAGACGGTAACAGCGATAAGGCACTCCGAGGCATACCTGAATTTTCATGTCCAGCTGTCACATGTTCCTGAAGTGAAGATTGTCGTACGCCGCTGTAAATCCTCCTTCGAGACTTGCAGTGAAAATTACCATCGCGCCACAGGTCAATTGACAAACTGGTGCAGGTCGTGAAGCCTGAATCGAGCACCTTCGCCTCTTGCAGTCTCCCCCCGACGATCTGCATGCCGAGGGCATACCGTGCATCTCGACTACGTCGCACATCTTGAACTGGCCTTGTTGTGTCAGCGGGTCCAGTGCGCCTCGGAGATGTCCGGGGCGGAGCCGTCGTGCTGACCAGGGTCCGCGGGGAGAACGACTGTCGATACGGCTATGTACGCATTACGCGCTCAGAACATTCGTCAACGCGTGTGGCTTCCTAGATAATCAGTACGGCATCATAAGTCTGGTTAAGCTCCATCAATGTGGAGCTCAATTGCGATAAAAATGTGGAACATTCTGCAGTCTGACGGCCTCGGTAGATCGTGACCCGGTATTTGAACATGTCTAGCGCATCGGGCAGACAGTTAACGCGCATACAGGGCAATACTCCCTCGGACTAGTCCAGCTTTCGAAAGCAGGTCAGCAGACATTATCATGCAGTACAGACCGAGACGCACCACATAAGACTGTACGCCCTGCGTTCAAACGTGGGCTCTGCAGAATAAAGAATACAGCAAGTCCGGATTGAGCATGCACACGCTAAGACAAGGACTGTAGCGTGGGACTGGGATAACTCGCGGGGCTCGGCACACTTTGAGGGGTAGGCCGGGGACGACGGAGATATCGCAAGAAGAGCTTGTTTGGCGTTCACGTGTGCGCTATCTGTCACCGGCCAAAACGTACGCATTGAGCAAAGCACAGAAAGAAAGAATGTGCGGCACAGCGGATGATTTGGGGTTCGGTGAGCGCACCATGCATCAGTCAATCGACCAGAATACGACGTGCGAAGGTGGACACAACACTCGACGCCACCGGCGCGATGGAACGAAGGCCAAATCGGCGGCATGAGGCGCTATGATTTTTCGGAATGGTTGTGAGACTGGAGTGACTTCGTATACCCTTGTGTCCTAGGCGAGGTTTCGGGGGCCCACGTCTGGTGAGGAATCAACGGGAGGGCGAGCAATCTTGCGGGGCGTCGTGGGTGAGAGGTACAGTGGGGACCGAGATGGTGGCATTTGTGCCGCGACATCATGGCCACGACTAAGCACTCTAGCACTGGTAAGGGGTATCAGCATGAGCGGCCCAGCGTTGTCGGTCCTTCCGTTCAACGTGCAACCTATGAGTACTCGTCAGACTAGAGTCAAGACAAATTTGCCGCTTACCATCAATATATGCGATGTCACAGTACTAACGCTGCCAGATCCTTGGACGGAGGCTCCAAGCTCGGAACGAGATGCGCCTAATGCCGATGTGCATGTGGCCGTGCATCATTGCCCATGTCAAGTGGCGAAAACCGACCGGACGATGATTGCTGTACAGAAGCTGCTGAAGAGAAATAGAGTTTCACTAGAAAGGGGAATGGTACAAATTTCCAGCTGGATTGTCGGAAGACCGACTGAATGTTACTGAGGTTCATCAGACCGTTTTGAATGCCACGCAGGCAGTTACTGGACAGAGCACTTCTCCCGTCTGCACGGTGCAACGATGGCCTCCATATATCCAGTATGATAGACGGAAGGTCTAGCTTGCCGACCATAAAACATGAACACGCGGTATATACCGACTCCCGAGAGCAGTGCTGTATCCGGTCGTGGGCGGTTAGCGCATCGACGACGACCAGCTGTAGTGGCGCTGTACTCACTGCGTAGAGTCTCGTCAGAGACTGGGCTGGTCATTGACGCTATCTGCTGCGTCCTGCGAGGCCGGCGTGTCAAAAGCACAGAAAATCGAGGAGGAGGAGGAAGAAAACGTCTGCGCCACCGACATTCCGGCGCTTATCCAGATCTCTGTTGTCCCAGCGATTTCTCACCCGATCGCTCTGCCACTGCCAGTGCCGCAGTGCGTGCCCCTGCCCTCCTCCTCTGCGTGTCTCGCGGTCATTAGGCGGTTTTGAATATGGCACTATCCAAGAAAAAGCGCAACACCATCGGCAAGAGGTCCTCGTGAAGACATGATCACCGCGCGAGCCACACGGGCGTAAAGTTACTTATCGCTGTTATATCAACTTGAACAGCCACTGGCAGCGAGCAGTACGTTGTGGTAGTGTGGTACATGCTCAGGTTGTGCATTACACAGCCCCACGGGCATCCAGCACTCACGCGGAACCAGACTGCAGGTTTATCGGGCACACCAGAGGCACCGAACAGTAAGCACAGCACATCTTAACATTTGTTCACGCCATACATCTGAAGTGACTAGCCAGCCATACTGAGAGGCGCATACGCCTTTCCGTCCTCCTCCAGCAGCCTCTGAATCAGCTTCATGCCCTCGAGGACCTTTTCTTCTTGCAGCCTCCGCCCGACGACCTGCACGCCTACCGGCAACCCGTGCATCTTGTCCGCGTCGTACATCTTGTACTGGCCCCGCTCGATGGCGTTTCTGGGCTTGAACGGGCCCAGCGCGTCACGCAGTCGGTCGACGTGGGTGACGGGTAGCACGCCCGCGGAGTAGTCCAGCTGCCCAAAAGCGCATCAGCAAACGTTCGTCGCTGCACACTCCGCCACGTACCAGGTTGAACAAGAACGTATACCCGCACGCCTTCCACCCCTCCTTCATGCCCCCATGCGGGACCGCCGGCAACGAATTCGGCACGGTCAAGATGAAGTCGAGCCCCTGCTCCTTCATGTACGCGTGCCAGCGCTCCCTGTACGCGTCGCGCTGGAAAACGAGCGCACAGTACTCGGCCACGCTCTTCTCCGACCACGCTGCGACGAGGTCGGCGTAGAGCGGGTCGCGGGCGACGTACCGGAGGTACCACGCGTAGAGCGTCTTGAAGAGGCGCGGAGCGCGGAACATTCCGAGCGCGGCGCGCATGGCGGGGTCGTTCGTCTCGCCCGGGCGGATCGGGTTCGTGCAGCGCTTGGCTGGGGGAGGGTCAGTGGGAGGCTTGGACGAGGAGCGTGGACGTACCGCCGTCGGCCATGAGGAGCTGGGAGGCGAGCTTCAGGCCTTCGGCAGGGCTTGGAGGATCGCTGCCATGAACATACGTTAGTGCACGGGTCTTGACAGAGGAGCCGGGACGAACACGGTGACGACTTGGTGCCCGTGCGCCTCCAGCGTCTTCACGACCGTCTGCAGAGCCCGATTGCACGCAGGCGACGGGGCGACGACACCTACAACGAGTATCAGTCACTGATTACCCATAGAATCGACTACCCACCGTCGTCCCACATGACGCCCCACCGGATGCTCTTCTGGCTGGATAGATCGACCTCGCGCCACGGGAGCGCGAGCACCGAGCTGTCGTACTCCCACGGCTCCATGCTCATCACCGCCCTCCAGAACGTCTCGAGGTCGCCGAGGGTGCGCGCCATCGGGGAGAACGCCACGCCCACGCCCTGTTCGCCGGGCACGCTCGTGTGCGCGTTCCCCGACTTGAGGAACCGGTAGGAGGACGCCTTGATGGTGTACACCCCCGAGTAGTGTCTGCGCGTCGTCCGTCAGCTCCTCGTCCAAGGTCTGCGAAGCGGCCGCTTACGATGGCAAACGGACCGAGCCCGCCCCGTCCGAGCCGACGCCGACCCTCGAGCCACCGAAGGCGATCAGCGCGGCCTCGCCGCCGGACGAGCCACCGGGGACGTAGTTCCTGTTGTGCGGGTTCGTCGTCGCGCCGAAGACGTCGTTCGCGCACTCGAACGAGAGCATCGTGATCGGGACGTTCGTCTTCACGTACGGGACGGCGCCCGCGTCGCGGAGCAGCCTCGCGAGCGCGGAGTCCTGCTGCTTGATGCCCACCCACGCGGAGTAGCCGATGCACGCGTCGACGCCCGCCACGGAGATCTCGTCCTTCAGGCTCACGGGCATGCCCGCGAGGGGCCCCTTCGTGTTGCAAGACTCTGCGGACGACTCTGCCTCCTGGATGAACACCTCGGTCAGGCAGTTCGTCGCGGCGTGCGCCTTCAGGGCGGCCTTGCCGTACGCGGCGAGGACGTCGCGCGGCTTGAGTGCGCCTTTCTGGACATCGGTGACAATTGCGGCGATGGGCTTGGCGAGTACGTCCTTATCGCTCGCAGTTAGCGGCGTGCGGTAGACCGCGGGGAGGCTCTCGATGCGTGCACGACGCTCTTCTTGCTTAGCGTAGCTACGGGACCGGGGTCATTGAGGAAATCAATGGGAGTACCATGGGATACTACTCACCAGGCGCGTCGATGGGCGAGGTAGGAGAACATCGTAGACCGTTCACGAGGGTGGGATGGCCCACTGGGAGCGTGGCTCACCTTCGACTTGTATCACGAAGGAGGAGGAACGGCCTCCCATAGTATTGCTTCGGATAAGATGTGCTGGTCATAGGAGCACTCTCGAGGCGGGAAGCAGAAGATAATCTGACGTTGCGGTTGCAATGGAACCTAAAAGTGGGCTATCTTGGGAGTGAGAACACAACGGGCACGGGTCGACGTACGTACGTCGGGACGTATGGACAGTTGAGGGCGGATTTGGGAGACAGGCGTGGAGAATTGCACACGACCAGATAGGATCGATATAGTAGACGTGCCACCTAGTGAGTCACGGAGCGTGTTCAGTGGCCAACGATACAAACAATTAAATAAGTACTTAGTGGCCACTGACCTGACGGTACGGATACGCTATGGGTTGTGGCGCGCGGCCGCCGGACTAGTACATAGATACTTACATGCAGCCCTTGAAGTTCTGGACATCGGATCGTCAATGCTTAGATCGGAAGACCGTCACAGGAAGCATACCTTCGTGTACATGATCACGACATCCAAGATATCAAATGCAAATGTTGTTCTGTTGCAATGCAAGGTGAGACTCGGGCTGCAGTCTCTAGTCAGGACGACGGTAAATCCTACCCGAAGAACACGGTACCTGGAACAGATTTAGTTAGATCCACGGCATCATCGAATTTTGGACAGACCATCCACGAGCAATAGGTTGGTGATGCTCGCCTGCTCGCCGATGGAGTCAGCAAACCTCTTCGTTTTGAATGTATGGCGCCAGGTTTCCACGAGCAACAGAAGATGCGCTAGCGATGCTGTGATCACGCTCGCAATGTTGACTTGCACCGCATACGTCAGTATCGCATGAATCCTCAGACGAATGGTCAGAGGGCCTACAGCTGAGTCAAATGCATTGCTTATTAACATGTTGGCTCGCAAAAATCACAATTAAGAGCACATACTGGAGGTCGGCAAGGTTGTTCGTGTCTTCAGCGAAGCATCCATATGGTGAGTTCATGATACGGAGAGTACCTGTTTCGTACTGCCACACGGCATCAGTAGAGGCGCGTAGACTGTCAAGGGGAATGTACTATATTGCACGCGATCTCTACAAGGAAGAGAGCCACAATAACCGAAGGAATGCGCCAGTCCTTTCCATTGACAGCATACGCGCGTAAAGCCATGATCGCTGCATCATCAGTGAGAATATTATCGCGACATGTCGGAGACAGTCACCTCACCTGTCTCAACAATATCGAATACTGTAGCCATATCAAGGTACACGAACCACAGACCACGTATGCTGCGGTCCAGGCCAGTAAGTTCAGCCACTACGATGGACACCGGAGAGCACATACCTCTAGCGGAAAGACAGACACGCCTGTATGTTAGTCACATTTACGTGAACGAAAGCAGATGGCGCACCGTACACCTCGAGGTAAACGTCAATGCGACCCAAGCCATAGCTGAGCTGAAGATCGAGACGTGCAACAGGACAAAGAGGACGGTTGGGATTGACAGCATTCGGCCTCGCATGAAGTGGACTTGTTGTCCGAGAGTGAGCACGAAGTCAAGACAGTAGATACCTAGTACGAGAGTTCGACGTGAGCGAACATTGGCCAGTCCAAGGCTGGTATCGCGTACACAATGCGGCAACGAAGCAGCAATTCTGACATGGGTCGATGCGTTAGAGAAGGGCAATGACGGGGGTTGCGTTGATACTTACTGAGAGCTAATCAAGGCTTCAAGTTCTTGAACACTCACTGCTTGGGTCAAGGTTGCATTGGCCATGCTCGAGTTGAGCGTGGTGCGGCGCAGGACGGGTTCAGTTGGTGAGCAAAGACAAGCTACGACGTTCTTAAGTAGCGTAGACCATCTGAGATGTAGGTCAACGTCATCCGTTAGCATCGATGGTTACAATATTGGGGACAGGAAGTTGATGGCCTAGAATGGGTCGTCGTAGCGAAAAGCGGTGAGCAGAACGATTTCGAGCGGGATGGATGGAAGACGCCTCACTTGGGCATTGGAATGTGTTCTGAAATTGGGAGGGGGCCCATCGAGGCGATGAAGAAGCACGGGTCGTTACCAGCAATACCGAACCCACGTCTTGGTGCCGATAGATACCCATCATAACCGTTTCGACTCACAGCCACTGTGATACTTACCAAGTCTCGAGTGAACACTCGCGGAACACGACTAATTTTTTTTGGCAAGACGGGTGGAGGAGACGCGTTACCAAGCTCCCCGTCATTGCGAGCGAGGACTTGCCTATCGGCGCGAAACACCACTGAACAGCGTGGCAGAGCGGCGAGTCGTGAGCTACAGCAGCGAGCACAGACAGAGGTACATACGTACCTCGTCTTGGTTGTATCCCCTACGCCTACAAGCACCTTTTGTGCGGAATGCATTGGCAATTAGCGCCATGTCTTCGTTCTTGATAGTCTGACTCTGGTCACGACGGGAGGAATCACGAGCGGACCTCAGCATGCAAATTGGGACTGGTGGGGAGGTGGTGTGTACGTCGAGAGGGCAGGAAGGCGGAGAGGCGAGGCGGGTGCTCTGCGCGTCGTAAGACGTAGTTAAACGGAGCGTACATCAGAGGCAGCGGGACAGAAGAATCTCCAACTGTCTCAGCCAGTGTAGAGACATGGCCGCATTTACGCATTTGCCAAACCCGCGCAATGCATAAGGTCAACGGCAGCATGCACATTCCTCAGCGAGCACGCCCCAGATTATCAAATGCTGCGTTCAAACATCCTCCGTGCGGTGACAGAGCTTGAGGGCGCACCTACACGCCCGCCTATTGCACACATACAACATGGGTTGCAAAGAATTTGTAGCCTCGAATGACAATGTCTTCGCCACGGCTGCCAACGGCGGTTCGTGACGCTGGATGCAGCGATCAGAACACTGTGAGGACTCGGGGGCCTCAGAGCTCTTGAACAGAAATATTAATACTACGTATACCGCATGCGAGTGTCACGAGGTAAGAGGGCTACAAACTCACCGCGAAGTCATGAGCATACATGGCAGTCGCGAGTTGGTCTCGAAGTTGTACTCGCGGAAGACAGCAACATAACACGATTCCGCGTTCGGACTGCCTGCGATCGAAGTGTAGTCACTTGAGCGTGACGGAAGGGCTCATGAGGTTAGCCAGCAGCCCACGTGCTGACTATAAGGTGCAAGAAAGCCGTTCGCGGTTTGGGGGACATCGTCGCGTTGTCGTCGCGGGACTCGATAGTGACGCAGCTCGACGCGTCTGTGGCTGCACCCCGGCAAGCGCCGAGTCTGCCTAGATCGGTGTTCACCGGCACCGTCACTTTGTACAGAACGGCAACAGTCCTTCAAGGCTTCAAGCTCTTCAAGCTTTGAACTTCTACGCTTGTATACCCTAACGTCACTGCATATGCTTGGACGACGAACTTCGATGTGTCCGCTCAGCTAAGCCTACCGTGCCCATCTTTGCACATTTCCACCCGTCGCCGGGTCCGACGCCTCTACTTACTCGCATCGCTCTCCCGAATGCCTATGTCTCCTTTGAGACTGTGTTTTGGTGGAAAAGCGGGACCCGCGAACACATGAGCGTCGCTGGCGAGACGGGAAAGGCACCAGTCCCTCAGACGTCGAGGAAAGGCATCAGTGGTCGTTACGGTACGTCGTTGACCTACTCGGTTCAATCTGGGCAATGCATCATTCAGATGCCGAAGTGGTCATCCATTCTTTTCTAGCATCGCGTTTTATCGCGTTTTTTGATGGCCAGCCGCTAGTGAAAGTCATGCACGCAATCACCTCGGTTTACATCCTGGTACGTCAAATACAAGTGTTTTCCGACTCACTCTACCCCAGTCTCTATGTACTCGCACACTGAAACACCCTAGCTTTCCCAGCGATTGCCCTCCTCGGCAACTTGCGTGTCCTCTTCGAAACTCACTTGGCATGACTATCGTGTGTGACGAGTCCCAGACGAACGACCCCTCCATGGCAGCTTCCCCGCGGAGGCCCCAGTCCTTAGCATTGATCTGTACACGCGCGATCCCAACATCAGGAGCTACGTCGTGAGGAATAGCGTTTGTATGTACGCGTGTACCATCTCACTCATAGACCCTTGTGATCTCGCAGGCCAGTCATATGTGCGGGTCGGCATCGTACACTCCTCCGCCTCCCCTGGCGCGCCTATAGCCTCACAAGTTTTGGCATCGAGCTCGTCCTTCAATCCCAGCACCCCTCCGTCAAGCAAGGTGACCATATCTACAACGGTGGTCTCCGAGCCCACCGAGTTCGACTCGGTCGTCTTTCGCGTCCCGTACTGCGTCCCGGAGGGCGTAGCAGGATTCACGCGATGAGTGGGTGTGTACATCAGCTTTCGAGCCCCTTTTTTCTTAAGGGAAATGTATGTTGTATGCTCTGCAGCACTCGGCGTGTCTAATGTATTCTCGCTGACGGTTAGATGCGCTGCTGCCTCCCTCCTCCTTGCTACGCAGATTCCTGCATCAACTTCCACAAACCCTCCCAAACGAAGGGCCCCACGCATGCTCCGCCCGCCGTGATGCTACGTTCACTAGATCGAAGCGACGCACTTGGGCGAGCTCGTTTGATAGAGCTGCCTTGTCGAAGACGAGGGGAGGACGGGTTTGGTCTACGTAACTTCCATACTCGTAAGAGGAACACTGGAATGCGTTTGCCACTGGCCATGCAATCCTGCCGCAGAAGATCGCCCCTGCGACTCTCGACCGCAATGAACGTGGGAGAAGAGTATGGGGAGACAGTACAGCGCTCATCGCGATCACCTCCACGGCGGATTGTTTATGAGGTGCGTATCTCTGACCGCGATACGAGTTCAGGTACTTACAAGCCGTGCCAGGCTCTGTGTAGTGCATGCTCTGCTGCCTCGTTGAACTCCATCTTCCGGATGATCGAAGTGCTATATGAGGGAGAAATTCATTGATTTTCTTCGACGACAATGGCTCGCATGTCCGGACAAGACTCAGCCATACTCACTCGAACGACGTCCAATTCTGTCTACGTTCAATTGACGCATTCTCTTATCAGGGGTCCGTACCGCACCGCAGACGCCGCAGAGGCTGGTCGTGTATCTAAGCGCCCAATGCTAATGCTAATTAGAGGGTGAGTAGACCAGCCCGTTTTTGCTTCTGACCATTGAGTCACACCAAGTTACTCACAGATAGCCCCCATCTGATAATTCGGCATCGCGGAAGGACGTCGATCTCGGCGTTCCTTGAAGCCGTACAAGTAGATACCCTCTGCGCTGTGTTCCCTCGCTCGCACCCCTGGACACGATGGCCAGCGCGGAATACCAGCCGCTCAAGAGCGATGAACCCGCCTTCGACCACCTGCAGCACTCCCCTGCACCCCGCAGCGTGTCGCGCTCTCGTCGCATCGCGATCTCCGTGTGCTTCGTCGTCTGCGCGGCGGCACTCTCGCTCCTGTACGCGTTCCCACCCTACTTCGAGCCTGCCGACACCTCCACCTCTTCCTCGTCTCCGTCTGCAGGTACGCTTCTCGACCATGGCGAGCTGAAGCAGTGCGCCGCGAGCGGCCCACCCCCCGCCTCGCCCCCTGCGCCCGTCAACCTCTGGGCCTCCCTCACCGTCCCGGAGACGACCGCAATTGCCGATTGGCTCGACGCCCCTCCACGCGCACTCAACCTCACCCCCGGCACGTCTGCGCACATCTCCGACAACTACATCTACCACATCGGCGCATGGCGCCCCGCCAAGGCCGACGCGCTCGCGTACCTCACGGACCCGAAGGGCACCGCGCCTCCCGACCGCTACGCGCGGGTGACGATCCACCACGGCGCAGCGGAGGCCCCGAAGGTGCAGGACTACCTGGTGGGCCCGCTGCCGGTGAGCAGCGAGACGGGCATGCGCCCCCTGACGGAGGTCTACCACCGGCCAGAGGTGCCGTACAACGCGCGCGGGTACACGACCCTCGCGGAGATCCAGCCGATCCTGATCGACGTGATGCCCAAGATGGCGGAGGCGACTCAGGTGCGTGCGCTTGCTGTTCCATGGTCTTCGTGTTTGACGGAGGCATATGCAGGAACTGTTCGGTGGAGTCGCGCTTGGCCTCGCGAACGACACCCTTGTCGGAGGCGCAACGGGCCCGCTGAGCTTCGACGGCTCGTTCCGGCGGGGCTGGATCAACTGGCGGCGAAACGTCCCTGGGCTATACCTCCACCCCGTCGGCTTCTTCCTCTACGTCGATATGACGGGGACGGATCCCAAGGAATGGGAGCTCCTCAAGGTGAATTTTACCTCGAGCAATGCATTCTCTGAAGCACACGGGCTGACGCGCGGTGCAGATCGTATACAACCACCAAGTGTTCGAGTCCGTGGACGACTTCATGGACGCGTTCCGGAACGGGACGCTCAAGCGCCTCCCCGCGCGCCCGGACAGCCACGATGTCGATTGGACGACGCGCAAGCGACCCGACAGCCCCCGCCGCGACCTCGACCACCTCCCCGGGCCGCGGTCGGTGTCGTTCGCGGGGTTGCGCTTCCGGGTGGACAGGTGTGTGTGCGTGGCGTTGGGTCCGCGCGTATCATGCTGAACGCGCCGACAGCAAGACGCAGTACGTGAGCTGGATGGGCTGGGGGATGTACCTCGGCTTCGACCGCGACATGGGCCTCAGCCTGTGGGACATCAAGTTCCGCGGCGAGCGCGTCATCTACGAGGTGCGCCTTTCGCTGATGTGCTCGGGGGTGTGGGTGTATACTGAGAGAGGAGACGGGTTTAGCTCGCGCCCCAGGAGGCTATCGCCCAGTATGCGGGCAACGACCCGATGCAGAGCACAACGGCTTGGCTGGACAGGTTCTTTGGTATGGTGAGTCTGCGTCGTGGCCTGACGAGTACGGCGGAGTGCTAAGGGGTGCGTAGGGCGGCTCCGTACGTGACATGCTCCCTGGGTATGACTGCCCGCATGAGGCAGTGTTCCTCCCCGCGACGACTACCAGCTTCGCGGGCTCCATCACGCGCGAGAGGTGTGTTGCTTGCTGAAACTCATGCAGCTCATCTGACTCGTGCACTTCAGGGCTATCTGCATCTTCGAGCACGACTCAGCGCGCCCGATCACACGCCATATGGGCTACTCGGAGGCGGAGTTCGGCGCTGTGCGTGGGTACAACCTCGTCGTGCGCTCCATCTCGACCGTGGGCAACTACGACTACTGTGAGCCATGCATGTGGTATGCGATTTGAACTAGGACTGACATGCTGCACAGTATTCGACTACATCTTCCACCTCGACGGGACGATCGAGGTGCGCTTGTCTGCCTCGGGCTACCTGCAAGGTGGCTTCTGGGAGCCTAGTCAAGAGGGTTACGGTACCGCCATCCGGGACACGACCAGTGCGCCTCTCAACGCATCCATCGTGCCACCCGACTGACTTCTGCATCTCACCTTGACAGTGGGCTCGCTGCATGACCACGTGATCAACTACAAGGTCGACCTGGACGTCGCGGGCGAGAGGAATTCGCTCCTGTTCACGCACACGCACCAAGAGGAGATCGAGCAGCCGTGGTTCGAGGACGACTGGGGGAGCACGGTGCTGCAGCAAAAGATCACGCGGACGTTCGTCGAGAACGAGGACGACGCGCTGTTGAAGTTCCCGTACAACTTCCAGGGCGGGTACTCGCTCGTCAACCGCGACGAAAAGAACAAGTGGGGTATCCCGCGCGGGTATGCGATCCATCCGGGATATAACCCCGTCTACAACGTGCGTGCACTCCGCTCGTGAGCAGCACCAGATTCCTGACGCGCGCACTACAGACGGTCGTGGGCTCGAAGCGCCTGCTGGAGAACGCGAACTGGGCGCGGTACAACCTCGCGGTGAGCAAGCGGAAGGAGACGGAGCCGACGAGCAGCAGCATGTGGAACCAGAACCTGCCCGGCGACCCGATGGTCAACTTCCACAAGTTCTTCGATGGCGAGAACATCACGCAGGAGGACCTCGTCGCGTGGGTGAACGTCGGCACGCACCATCTCCCGCAGGCGGAGGACTCGCCGAACACGCGGACGAATCTTGCCGCGTCCAGGTGCGTCCTTCCGCCGCACTAGTTGCTGCTCCGTGTGCTGACGTCGCGGCAGCTTCTTCATCACGCCGCTGAACTACTTCGACTTTGACGTGTCGATGGAGAGCTCGAACGCGATCCTGCTCGCGCCGCCGAAGACCCCAGGCGACGCGTGGGGCTACGACGACTTCGGCGTGAAGGACGCGAACTGCGTGCCGGGCCCGGTGCCGCCATTTGAGTACAGGGGCGTGCAGGCGTTCTCGCTCGACGGGAAGCTCGCGCCGCCGGAGAGCGCGGACGAGATGCGGAAGGGCGCGGAGATGTATCATCGCATCAAGCTGGAGCTGTAGAGCGGGCACAGTACGAGCTGATGAAACAAATGAGGTTGTACTTTCTATATGTTCTGATTACTGTCACGCGTTGGGTCTTCCTGGAGCGGCGGGATGAGCATGCTCGCGCGAGTGTATATAGTACACTTTCGAACCCAGGGCCACGCGATGCATGCGTGATCACCAGTGTGACGGCTTCCGCTCGTGCTGGTCTCTTCAGCAAGCCCATGTCGTTGGTCCATGCCACTTAGGTTAACGGTAAATGAGGGGGTGTGGGCAGGGCAGCAGCGTGAATTGAACGACTTGTGGCGATTGTAAGGTGTCATTTGGCAAGGAGGAAGAGCTTCAAACAGGATTGTGATCCAACCACGCGCACGCGGTGGCGCTCATCACAGCAAGTGCTAGTGAGACGCCAAGTTTTCACTTGAAGGAACGTCGAACTCGTCCACTGCAGGATCTCTTAGTCCCTCAGTTGTGGCTTCCCTGTGGGTATATGTTGATTCTGACAACGAAGAGGCGTAACAATTGCTATAGGACTGTGACTGGATACTGGCCCAATTACTGTCATCATGAGCCCTCCTCTTTATCCGATCCCGAACTCGACTGTCATACCTGAGCTACGCCTGCAGAAGCACCCAGAGGGTGGTACGTAACGCACACCTCCCTTGTTGCATTGCATTCACATTGGACTTGATTGGATGCCTGTTGTCGCACACGACATCCTCAGGTTACTTCGCCGAGACAGACCGCCAGTCTGAGACTGTGCCCTCTCCGTTTGTTGGTAAGAGTGCAGTTTCCAGCATCTGCAGAGAACGCTCATGGAACGCTATGCCATCATGCGCTGGTACGGTCCACGTTGTAGGAGGCGCGCCGCGCTCACTCGCCACCACCATCTACTATCTCCTAACGCCCGACGAGAAGAATGGTGTTTTCCACATGAACAAGTCGGCGGTATGAATCACTCCTATCCAATAGTCCCTCTTGGGTCTACAGAGCAGTTTACTAACTCTTATGTCGTCAGACTATGCACGTTCTACACCAAGGACGCGCAGAATACGTCCTCATAACTCCCCCTGCAACGCCCGGCAGCCCGCCCAAGCTGGAGAAGAAGGTACGCACACTATCTTGTCGATCCCCTGTACAGTATTTCCTATCGTCCATTGTGTCCAGGTTATGGGCCCGAACCTTCAAGCGGGCGAGGTCCTCCAACTACTCGTTCCCTCCGGGATCTGGAAGATGTCTCGCCTCCTACCCGACGACCTGTCTGCCGCCGCCGACCCCGAGAAGAGAGACCGCGTAGGCTGTCTGATCACGGAGGTCGTCTTTCCCGGATTCGCTTGGGAAGACCACGCGTTCTTGACGCGGACGGAGCTCGAGAAGCTATACGGAGGCTCGGGAGAAAGTAAAGAATGGGCTGCGTATGTGAAGAACGGATGAGCTTTCTCGTCAATCTCCCGTGATCTGCTGTGTTATGTGTAACAAGGGCACGAAATCTAGCCTCTCATTTGTTGGTTGGCAGTCACTGGACAAGTTGTGTACAGGTGTGTGCCCAATTCGGCTCAACCACGGTGCACGTCGACTCCAAGGCAACAACCGTCACCGGGTTAGGTGCCTCGACTTGAATCCAAACGTTAACGTACGAACAACGTCAAATTCGACCTCTGCTTGGTTTCATGATTGAGGTACGTCTGACTACAATCGTAGCTTTTGTCTTCATAATGACAATTACCTTCGTCAGCGTCAAGCCACAATTATGGCATGACAGATCGATGACCCTGTACAATTGCAATCAGTCTCAGCGATTGCTACCGAGGTACAGCGAGACAAAAGGTATCCAATGCGCGATTGTAGTACGTGTTGCTGCGAGTTACACGGGATGGAACACCACGTTTCGTGACTCGTGCCATCAGAGACCATCCCACGGTATATAAGGCCAGGGGCAACCGAGCAGTAGACTTATCGTCTCCCCGTTCCCTCTCTGCCACAGCTATAATTCAGCAAGGAATGCTGCACAAGCTAACCAACAGGTGAGTATATGCCATCTCTTGTGCTCGATGTCTCAGGAAGCCTTAACGCATAATCTGTTCTAGTGAATGTCTATATCTCTGTCGAAACCAGATATTCTTCCATGCTACGACGCATGTCCCAAATCTCGTATGTTACCAGTCCTCTGGCTCTCATTCAGGATGCTCACTCCACCATCGCAGCTTCAGTTCCGGAGGGAGCGTCGGCCACTGTATAAAGATGTACACTACTCCAGAGCCGGGCATGGTTCGCCAGCTTCGCGTACGTACATTCAAGATACAATCAACCCACACGGCTCGGGAAATCCAGGGCAAATTATGCGCCTGTACCGAATGGAGCGGCTACAAGGGCGGGAGCGCGGTGCTTCACCTTCCAGGTCTCTTCCGCGAGCAGTCGTTGCCGCACAGAGCTAAAGGACTTCGGTTCCCTGCTGAAGCACGCAAAGCAGGTACACCTCAAAGCTGCGGTCCGCAAGTGCTCCAAATGTGGTCGCGGTCTTTCCCGGTCTGAAGCTCTCACTCGCCACGAGTGTATGCAGTCGGAGGGTGCCGAGGCATCAGACAAAAGAAGTGCGGCCAGCGGCGTCTTCCATTGACAATGGCTCGTTCACGCCAGCTGCACGATCGCCCGCCGCTGAGCAACTTCAGGCATCCCGTCGAGCGGAAGTGCCGCAACCTCGTTTGTTCACTGGCGAGTCGATTTTCTCGATGTACGATTCCTCAGGCTCAGCTCCCGCTCAGAGTGCGCAGCGCTGCTTCACGCTCTTTGCATCGCTCGCCACCGCAGACGCTTTCAGCGGACGTGAGGGTTCCCTCGCGGCGCACTATCCCGCCCCCATCGATGCTCGCATCATGGCCGACGTATCCTCGGGCCATGTATCCACCTCTGCAAGCGTGCATATCAATAGTGCTGCGCGCACAATGGCGGGGTACGGGACACAGAATCGCCGTTGCGTTGAACGAGCTCGCTGCAGTCGCCCTATCGCAGACATCGCGCGCCTGGTCACCCCAGGCTCAATCCCCGGGGCGTCCAATCCCTTCGATGTAGTCACGCGGCCGACATCACTCACCTCCTGCTTTTTGCGAGCGCCCGAAGAGTTATGGTCACTGTCTTTAACAATCTGCGCGCGTCGCTCTCCTCTGCAACGCAAGGGGCTACATGACGGAGGCAGCGACTCGAATCAGCAAGCTGCGTACGGGGACCAGGCTCCGGGCAACGTGAGCGAGATGAGGATGAGCGGCGATGATGTACAACACAGCGTCCGCGGAGCTCTCAAATGCGAAGACGGGCCCGGCGGAAGCCTGAGGGTCAGCAGCGAAGACACAGTCGAACGTCATGTACTAGGAACCGCACAACTCAATACGAACCTCCGAGTCCAGTCGCACTGCCAACCGTTGGTCACACGAGCACTTCGACGCAGGCCACGACGGTGCGCCCGCTGAGGCAAATCCGTCCGCCTCGCCGTGCTTCACACGTATACTCGGGCTGCGACGTCGGAACACTACCTTCATACACAACCCTTCAACTATGCGTATCCTAGCCATTATGGCGCAGTACTCGAGGCTGCAACAAACGTTCGTAAGCCGCGCATCAAGCAGGCCGCATACGTCTACCGAACTGGCGGTCACATACACAGTACGCGGGCTGCCAGGGATGGAGGCGGCGGGGATCATCCCGCCTCAGGAAAGCAACTGTGTGGGCCCGGGCCCTGCAGGGTACCAAGTGACACCTCTTCACTCGTTGCCTGCAGGGCCTCTCGAGTCTCGTTACAGCATCCACAGTGACCCGGGCCGTCCTCTGTAACATTTAGTGATGCCCCCGCAGCGGCAATGCGTCGTCCAGCGATACCGTAGACGCGTACATGAGAACGAGAGCCTGAGACCAACCTGAGACACTGGCATATAGGAACGTCATCTTCAGTGACGAGTCAAGCAATCAAAGTCGCCAGTAGACATTCGCAGTCATCGTCGGACGAGTTTTCACCTGTTCCGCCGACTGCTGTGTACGGAGGGCGGCCGCTCCGCTGGGGGTGGACATGGTGTGCGTGCAGGACGTCGTGCTGAGCGAACGGCGACCGTCGCGGCGTGGTGAACGAGCCTCGGCGAGCGCCGAGCTTCAGCCACAGACGCGTTTGCATCCGACGCACTACTAAATGGAATACCCTCCTCCTCCTCCTCCTCCTCCTCCTCAACTATCTCTCCCAACTTCGAGTTCACATAGGCGGGGCACATCGAGGATTGGTTGGCGCAGTATCGATGTGCAGCTGAATTCACAAGTACCGAGTCCCACACTCAGTGCGTAAACTCATTTCCTCAACGGTGGTACACAAAATACATGTCTATGCAACAATATGCTACTATGACTTAATGGGGTTCCAACTCCCCGTACTACAGCGGGTAATCTGGAGACGACTTGTCGACTGCCAGACCCAGCGCCCACAGGCGCAACGCTCCACCAAAAGAAACCCCCTATCTCTCCCAACTTGCTCTCCGCTTCCGACCCTCTGGAGCCACAGTTCTTAGATGCTACTTGCGTGGCTTCACAGGCCCGGTGAGTCTCACTTATAGCACAGATGCGTATGTACCCTGGCTGCGAACTAGTGCAGGAAATTGCTTACTACGGTTTCAAGTATATTGCCGCTGAGCACGAGATGATGGTTTCTGGTGAGCACCAAAGTTCTCATTTGACTCGGTGCATGGTGCAGCCAGACCGAATTCGTTATGTAGATGCTACTCGCGATGCCGTTGCTCTGAGCGTACAGGATATACAATGCAACTGAACAGTCTGGTGGCCCCAATAATCAAACGGTACGACATCCTGCGTGTCAAACCCTCGTCTCTGCTCACTCAACTGAAGCGCTCAGCTCTCATCTGTCACAAGATTACTTACTTCCCGACGTCCGCGTCGTTGGTTGGTCGCCGCGGGCTATTCCGGCGGTGCGAAGGTCGCTGGCATAGACGCGGACCTTGTCATCGGAAGTACGTAGGAGGAGACGGATGATTTCACGGTACTGCTCGGCCCTCGGTCGCGTTTGGGTGGTGTCTTAGGCATTGTATCGGTATAACAGTACAGTATCTATCTAACGACAGACTAGATGCTAGCAAAGATGTGCGACAGACATGGGCTGAATCTCGCAACGACACGGTCATATACGGTCATACATTCGATAGCTCGTTAAGGTCGCCCGTCGTACTCCAGCACGTCATCCGTCTCCAGCTGCTGCCTGCATCCTCTTACTCCTCCTCCAGTACTCCTAACTTCCTTATCGCCTGTTCTGCTGCAGCAAACCGGACCTCCTCCTCACTCGCCCTGCCGCGATATCCCTGTGTGACCTTCAAGAGCTCCTCTCCGTTCATGAGCACAGCGCAACTGACATTTCCCTCCGTCGGCTCCACAGCTAGCTCGACCGTCTGCTGCGGTTTCTGCTGGGCGGCCCAGATCTTCAAGCGCGAGACGGGGTGCAGCACGTCCATCTCGTCACGCACGACGATGCGTTCTAGAACGTCCATGATGCCGAGGGCGCCCAGCACATTGCGCGCCGCCGTGAAATCACCTTCGGAGTCGAGGAACACGGCGCCGAGCAAGCTCTCGATCATGTCGCTGAGGAACTTCGGAGCCTGTAACCTGGTGAGTGCCGCCCAGGGGTATATGGTCTTTTGCTTGAGAGCTTTCTCAATTTCAGGACCAATCTCCTCGAACCGCAGAAAGGCGGAACTCTCCGGCATGCGGTGACTGGAGTACAGAAGATACTGCCAGAGGTAGATCCTCTGCTCCTCGGTACCGACAATCAGGCCGCTCGTCGGCGACCACGAGGGGCTCAGCGATTCGCAAGTGGTGAACGTCTTGAGACAGAAGTATGCCAGGAAGTGCGAGTTGACGAGAGCCTCTTTGTGCCGATGCATGTGCACGGGCTTGTAGTCCTCCCCTCGGCATGATAGAGCATGTCAGTGACAATCATGTCCAATACACAATCTCCGAGGAACTCCAATCGTTCGTAGGACATGGTCGCCGAGTTGCTGTTATAGCTCGCATGGGTCAGAGCTTGTACGAGTAAGGCTTTACGTTTGAAACCGTAACCGATCATGCGTTCAACGAGGCTGAGCCGGGGAGGAGGTACGTCGAGTTCTTCATGTCTTCTCAGTACATCGTTGATGTTGGTCGTAAGCTTCTTCCATGATAACCCCAGCCCGAATGTCGCTACGCATTCCACTGCAAGGTCGAAGCCTCCGTGCTCGTACGCGGCGCCAATCAATGCCTCTACGACGTCCGCGAGCACCTTCGTTGACAATTCCTGCGTCTGCTTCTTTTTCCTTTTCTTACCTTCGTCCTTCGTCCCCTCTTCAGCGCGCTTCATCTCAGACTCAGGCTCTGGTTCCTCGACGACAGAATCCAACAGGTAGCGAGGCTTCCACTTCCTCGGTACAAACCGGTCTCGAATGATCCACTTGTGTAGGCCTTTCTCGATAGCTGCTTTGGCTAGCTGCCGTTGGACACGGCGTGATCCTTTCGCCTAGAGAGGTAACCTTCGGGCCAAGAGGGATGGTCAGCGAAGAGCTGTGTGCTTGTCAAGCACTTCAGAACACAGTCTCCGAGCATTTCGAGTCGCTGATAGTCGCGTGGTTGCTCGTTGTCCATCATCTCTTGAGCAACGGGAGCCGTGATAGCGATGCGGAGGAGATCGAAGGCAACTTTGGAAACTGTGTCCGCTGGCAACAGCTCATCGCGAAGCGACACGACGGTAAGGGCATTCGACATCCACCTAAGGATCGAAGGAAGATACATGGCGTATTGTAGATCTTCCTTCGATACAAGCTCGACGGTCGTATACTTGGGCAGAAGGTAGATTGCCTCCTCGCGGCCTAGTCCAGCTGTGTCCGAAGCCAACGGCGCAAGGAAGTTCGCTCGCTGAGGGAACTCCTTGACCTGAAGCAAGGGATGCGTGGTAGTCGCGTCGGGGAAGCCATCGTATCTCTCCCGCAGCTTGTCCTCGTCTTCGGCACTCAGCGGACCATTGAACCAACGCACGAATTGAAGGGGCTTGCCGAACTTCTCGTTCGGCCGAATGAGTGCCAGATCTGTCGGCAGGCCGTACTGCTGGCGCAGCATATCCGCGTTTGCCCTCGTGTTTGTCTCCAGACGAACGTCGGCCCCGCGGTCGATCCGCTCTTGCATCCACTTTCGCCGGTCCTCCCAGGAGTGCTCATCTGGGCCCTCCTCTGCAGGCAGGAACAAGTAGGCAAAGGCGCGATCGTCCGGCTTCATGCGCGCGAAGTATAGGGTCGAGAACATCCGATGGCTATAGGTACGAGCGCGCTCAAGGTAGGCCTTACCCTGGTCCACCTTGCCCATCGGACGCACCGAGACATGAGTGGCACCCGTACCTGGGATGTATATCGTCGGCATCTCCTCCTTAGCGAATGGGGGCAGCGGGTTCGGCGTCAGCATGGTCAGAGCCGGCAAGCCATCGATGATCATTTCGGCCTTCCACCACGTCTCCTCATTCGCCTTCAGCGCCCAAGGATCCATCTGGCTGGACACCTTCTCGGTGCCAGCGCGCTTCTCAATAGCAAGAAGCAACTCCTTGACTTCCCCTTCGTTAGACTCGATTGCACTTATCAAAGGCTGGAGATGGTCGTTGAGGAGCTTGGCATCGTGCAGCGCGACGTAGGCATTGAAAGCCGCATGTTTTTGTGCCAGCCGCTTCGATCTATGTTCTCGTGGTGTGGAGAACTTCCTAAGACTGAGAAGGATGTATATTCAGCGACGAACGGTAGTATGAACCAACTGGTGGACTCACTGAGCCGGAAGGCATCGCGGAAGCGTGACGGTAGCACCCCAAGGCCCCTGATATAGCGGCACATCCTTGAGACGGCCCTGCGGCAAATGCCATCCTTCAGGATAGTCGGGTGGATCGAGGTCATAAAGCGCGAGCTGTCCGTCATACGCCACATTGGACAGAACAGCAGCGAAGTGATTGAGATGGCTCGTCGCAGAATCGAGCGTAAGGACAGCGCTGTAATGACGATAGTCAGCGAGCATGCAGCGTATATAGTGACGGAAACATACCCAGTAGATCCAACGCGGTACGTGCGCTCGTCCAGATCGTCGTCGTCTTCAAAGTTTTCCGGAGCCACCATGGTCAGGTCCGTGTCAAGAGCCGTCATCTGTTCCTCGACGTCAATCCACTTCTGGATATCCTGCTCGTTTCGCGAGTCTTGCTCCAACATCATGATGAAGCTACTCCTTTGCCTCCTAGCTCTTCCTCGGCTTTGTACCCAAGAGACCATGTTTGTAGGAGCATCAAAGCAAACGACGCAATTGCATGCCTGGATGTCGATCCTTCCTCTGCGACGGAGGTGGACACAAGCAAGTCCTTTTTACCTTCACGAAGCTCCTGTAGCGTGTTTGCCTGCGACTCCTTCACGATCTCTGGATCTTGGGTGATGTCGAGGGAGGATTTGTATCCAGAATTCGACGAACTTCCTAGTAGACAGCCGATGCGGAAGAGCTGTGCAGTCTCTGGGAGTCGGGACAGCACTTCCGCTAGGGCAATCACCGTGTTTCGCCTCTTCACAAAGATGAGGCCGCTGTACGTCTCACCCGCGGGCCGAAAATCCTTCTTCTCTGCGACCAAGCACGCGATCAGCGCTCGGACCTTCGGTGTGAGCGTATGCTGGATCGCGTCTGGATCCGTATAAATGGGGACGAGGTTCACTTTGTCGAGGTTGTCGAGCAGGTAGCGGAAGCTTTCGCTCGAGGCTCGCCAGCTAGTTGTAATGTTGTTGTGGGGGTTCGCGGCGCGGCGGGCGTGCTCGATGACCTTGACGATGTACCAGTCTGCTGCCCACTCTCCAAGTCCATGCATATCTCCCCGGCGGCCCTGACGAAGTCCCTGAGACTCTGATGCGTGAAGGTGTCTGCCTTGTGAATGGTCTCCGACAGCCTCTGGTCGATGCGTTGCCGTTCATCGGCTGATTGCGCTCGCGCCAGCTGACCGCGCAAAGATTTCACGTGCGGATCATTCTCGATATCGAGCGAGTCGACGACTGTTCTGAGCGAGAGTATGTTCTGAGATGGTAGTGTATCCCAATCGTATGACGGCGAGTGATAGAGGATGCGTGTGGGGTCTGGCCTGTGAACACATTGATCGAGCTCCTCTTGATGCGTGTGCGATGAGCAGATGGTGCTGTCGAGGTTGCGTTCGATATTGCTAAAGGAAACGAGGGTTATTATCTCAAATGTGCAGTGATGGACGTCAGAGCATACAATGCGGCTTGGGATTCATGCCAGGTGTAGCTGTCAGTCCAAGCACCACGGGACGAACCCGGTCATACGGTCCAGAATCCGGACCGCGTTTGTCCAGGGAGAAATAGAAGTCCTTCATGATCATGTTGTACGGATCCTTACCGATCGCATGGTGGGCCTCGTCATAGACAAGGAGACCTATGTCGATGCCCAGGTCAACATAACCCTGGACATACAAATCTTGAGTCAGAACTCTACACCGCGAAGTACACCATGCACGTACATGTCTGAGTGCGTCTAGCAGGACCTGTGGCGTAGAGACGATGATTCTATGAGACTCAAGGACACGTCGCCAAAGTGCTTGATCCTTCCATTGGTCTGGGTTCGATGCACCAGAGATCATGCACACAGGAACCGGGACGGCTTGCAAATGACATTGAATTGTTGTTTCAGCAGTCCCACAGTAGGTGCAAGGAACCAGGACACCTAACAGAGCGGTCTATGTCAGTGAGCCTGCGGACGAGGTGACGAATCACCTTCCGTGGTTCCCGCTCTGCTTCATGCTTCATGCGCAGGACAGCGATGTGAGTTTTGCCTGATCCCGTACCTAGCGCTATGATGATGTTGGATCGCAAGCTCGCTTCAAGGAGTTCTTGTTGGTAGCCCCTCGTGTGGAAAGCAGTTGCGTCGGCATTAGCGACTTCCGGACTCGGTATGTCGCCCATACTACTCAGCAGTGAGGCGGGTCCTAGAGGTTCATGATGTTAGAATATGGTACTGAGAATATCGACGCACGAAACACGAAGCACGACGAACGACCAAGGATCGAGACGGGGTGGTGCGATCTCGATCGCACTCCCGTGCTATTCCTGTGAACGTTCGCAAAGAAAATCGACTTACTGCACGCGGTACTACACGCGCCTTACTCACCCGAGCAGAAGGCAACGAATAACGGTCTCGCCTTTCGAGAGAGGCTGAAGGGGAAGAGGAAGGCGAGCTACGGCGTGACGGCGGTGACCTGTTTCTGTTATGCGTCGAAGCGAGCACTTGTCATCGACCAGCTCAACCTGAACGGTCCTGCGAACAATCAGATAGACGCCATTCACCGTGTGTACTTACAAAGGTCGCGTGCCGCGTTCGAAGTTGGACGCAGAAGGACGTAAACGCGTCTGTGGCCGAAACTCGGCTCTTGCCGACTGAGCGACTCGCCAACGACTTCCGCCTCTGGCACTGCGACGAGTGCAGCCACGCCGCGGGCGGTACACGCAGCGACGAGGGATAGAGCGGGCCCTGCCACGAACCCAGCGACAATGTGACGGCGTGAAGACCCTATGAGATGAGATCCATGTCTGGTGATCGTAAGCCTCATACACGCCATCCAGTCCAGTAAATGTCGCGCTCACCTCAACTACGCCCTACCGCCCTCGTCGCGGTTCATGTGGAAGAGGAAGCAGCATCGGCTGGCAGTGGTGGCGCAGGTCAGCCATGTTGAAGTTTTTGAATACAACGAGACTGACCAGTGTCAGCTGGCAGGGACCTCTACTCGAGCTACGCCGCTGGGCCCTCGATTCACGTGCATTGAACAGCGTACCGGTGCATACCGTCGACGAGCGAAGCACAGCAGTAGCCGTCTCGGTTGTGCCCGGGCTGCCAAATGAAGAGGTGGGGGTCCATGTTCTACGGCTCGATATACGTGTAGTTGTATGCTCTGGAGGACGTAGACTTAGAGAGCTGTGAGCCTCCCGTAGTCATGGTACGCGTCTCCAACGTTGGCCGTACCGCAAGCCCGCTTTCAGTCTGCTGGCAGCAAGATCAGACGCAGTCAAGTGTAAGTAGTAGCCACTCACCGACTATCGGTTCTCCGAAGCGTCGCGCGCGGTCTGACATCCCGGGGTTTTGAGCATCCCTCGACTTGCATTGTGCCCTATATGCGGCCTGAGAGCGAGAATGCGCCTTGAGTCGCATACATATTTCGCGGATGGGTTGATCGAAGGACGCCGCGATGCAGGACCTCTTGATGCGGGGTTGAGCCAGGCTACAACGCCTATTGCCTTGAGTTCGGAGCCACCGGCCTATCGCTGCAGGAAAGTTGAGGGCGTGAATTGGAGGCTTCGCAGCCCAGGTGGCGAAGCCAGCACTGACTACAAGAGGACGCTGAGATTTCCCGCAAACCACCTCGCACGGAATCGAAGCGTGCATCGTCGCGAGCCCCGCCACAGGAACAAATGCCGGTGCGCGAGCGGACATGTACCTGGGCTGCCTATGACTGCGAGAGAGCCTTCTCCAGCGCATTTGGCAGTAAGACAAAAAGTGCTAGATAATCTGTTTGCATGAGATACTTCAATCCGACGGATAAATTTGGAGGAGGAAATGCGTACAGTAGTATGTGTCCGCGCGCCTCGTTCGCACAATCCCGGCAGGCTTAAGCGCAGCATATACGGCGGCGTGAAAGATTATAGGGAACGACGTAGATGGTCCAGATATCGTGGATCTGAGACACATCGCTGGGCCGAGTAAAAGTTGTTCTCGCCTGGACGAGGCACCACTTCACTACCCGTGTCATCGTTCATGCAGAGGACGACGAGTTCCTGTCTGTTAGCAAAGGCGAAGGTAAGCCATGACAAAGCCTTCGTGCAGGAATATGACGAGACTGACAGACGGAAGCCGGTCCCAATGCTGACTCGCAAGGTTGGGATGGCAGAAAGGGACCGTGACTGCCCTGGGCAAGTCGGTTTGTTAGAGATACGGGACGGGGACCCGCCGTGCGGACGGCATGAGGGAGGAGCGGAGCGTGACCACGTTGCAGTATCCAGAAGGTAAAGCTCCGTATTCTCGTTCCAAGGTAGTGAGTTGAGACCTCTATGTCTCAAGGTGCGAGATTCGGACGTTGGCTGTATCTGGGCCTAGTTCGTTCACCAAATACGATGCAAGGTCAGATGCAGTAGAATCTGAATGAATGATTACTCACCAGACCAGTAATGTTACCGCGACATGGGTCTCGCATCCAGATAGTACGGCGGTGAGCACACTCTGCTTTGCATGAACCCCGGTTTGCATGTTCCCGTATACGCTCGAGGGGCGTAAGCAGAAGCATTGACATGTCTTCACACCTCGGAGATAGAATCGGGCGAAGGGTATCATGGCGCGAGGCCTGTTGGCACAGTGGTCTAGGAGTTTGAAATTGGCCGCGACAGACATTGCCCAAGGAGCCCCGAGCCTATATCGTAAGGTCTGAGATCTGAAAGCCTGTGCAAGCAGACTTTGTCAGCACACAAAAATGGTGGAAAGCCTGTGAGCACGTCGGAGGAACCTGCTACTGTAGGCTGGCACCGTGACTGCGAGCAGCCAGCGCCGGCACGCACACGTACCCAAGCCGCTCAGGCTGACAGAAGGTTCAGTTCAGTACACAAATGAAGCATAGTTTTGAGCAGCGTGAGACGGCTGGGATGCCACAGATGTGACTGGCGACGGTGGTGTATGCTGGATAGGTCGCGTCGCGCGAACGCGTCTGTGGCTGAAGCTCGGGTCTTGCCGATGCTCTCACTGAGCGACTTGCCACCCAGCTCGCACCGGCCGTCGTACGACCTAGTCATTCGCTGGGATCCCTGACCTTAGCAAACCTGTGCTAGAGACCACCATACTGGCGGATTTGGACGCAGCGCCGCCTGTCCCTTACAGGCAACGCGCCGTGCTTCGGCTCGGAGAGCGGTGTTGTTGGATGGAGAGGATCATATCGACAGCGCACCCATTCGCAGATGTTCCGTACATCTACATTGTAAGTCGTGTTTATTCTGTCAGTTCGTTTCCGTTGCATATTTATGCGACAATGCCTGCGACGCTGTGTACACAGCGTCGTGCTCGTTCGCGCTAACACCGCCCGCATACATGGTATCCCATTCCAACGGATTGTCTGTATATAACAACCTTGTACGCGCGATTCTGATCTCTTCCGTCAACGTCATCGCTAACATCTCGCTGGCAAGAATATACAGGCCGATTCAACTCGCTATCCCGTGAGCCCCCACTCATGTGCGAATATCTGCGACGGTCCACACGCAACATTGTACCAAGTCGCGCTGACGTCGCCCGCTTACCCCGTGCCCACGGGTTGTCGTATGTAGACATGGCTCTCATTTTTTCGTTGACTCTCCAACTAACCATTCCGTTACAGAACTCACGGACGCGTACACCCACTCAAACTCGCTATTCAGCAACCTTTTAGGTCTATTATCAAGCATGTTGCCAGCCAGTGCGCCGTCCGTCCCGTTTCTCCCACAAACGACCGAAGATACACAACTCACCGTATTCAACTCCCGGGAGTACACCGTCGATGATTTAAGCTGGCGGTCTCCCCTGTGCAGAAGAGTACGACACGGTTGCCGCTGAGCTCACGACGTCGTCGGTGCTGGCCGCGGTACTCCCGGTGAGCAGTGTTCTCATTCGTGGTAGACCCAGACATGAGCCATACCGAAAGTGTCGCCTGGTCAATCCTCGCCAACTCTACTTCTCTTCACTGCGCCTGCAGTTCGCTCTGGCGATTGGCCCCTCGCCATGTATGCCGATTCGAGACGAGAGAACGCTAGTAATCACGATGCCGTTCACCCCTCGACGAGCGTGAAGTGCTCCCGCCCATCCGAACTGAGCTAGTTGGCTCGGTCGGGCATGCCCCTAGAGAGCCCTGCCATAGCACGCGCCCGTCTTCAACTCACTCATCCGCTTACAATCCTTTGTTACGCGCACAGACGTTACCCGAGGATGTCGAAACCTCGGGCTGACTCTTGCCTGCGGAGGTTCGACTGAGCACGATGCCAGCCTAGTCCCCGCGCATGATGACGAGGCCAGGGCCGTGCTCATCGTTGTATTGCTTTGTTGGCTATAAGCTCACTGTGTTGTCTTCCCCATTCGTCTTAGATGAGATGGCTCGGACACTGCCTGCACCGAGACTCTCTCGTCTGCGTGCGCATACCGCGGGGAATGAGTACATGGCGCGGCGTGGATCGTGCGGTGAGTACGAGAGCTAGAGGCCGTTTCCTACGCGCAGGGACGATCCAGGTATGATGACGGATGCCTGATTCTTTTGAGCTGCTTCTCTCAGGCACAACAACATGCTGTTCGCGTACAGAAAGGGGGTTCTCGGCCGAGGTTCCACGTTCAGCTCCTGCGGCAGGCATGGATCAACAGCAGAGACCGCTCACTCTACAGGGCGGCGATCCATACATGAGCAAACCGTATAAGCTCCATAACACTTACTCCGCTCATACTGACTATTGTATACATGCGACAGACTTCTCGCCCTCCCTCTCCACTCCCCGTGACCCTTCACACAAAGTTGCCACTCCTCCGAGCCCTCAAGATCGATTTCCGCGGTAGCGACGTTCTCCTGCATATGCTCTCCCTCGTCGCCCACGGAAGCCGACCTCGTCAGGCCGACACAACTTGAGAATGTGACCGGGACGGACGTACGACCCGGCGCAGTCACCCAGCCTGAGGTTCAGTGCCGTCCGTTGAGATTCATGCAGGCTTTCACCGTTATTCTGAACACACACTAGTGTATCACTCACGAGTATCCTGCCTGCAATAAAATGTGATTGTGGCTAAGTGCTGGCGTGTGTGTTTGAGGATCGCGTCGCGCGAGTACAGCCTGATTGCTCCGCGCTCAGTTCGAGCCTTCCGTTTGCTGGAACCTCAGATCTCGGAAACGGATGCTGCTCCGAATATACATATTGCTTGCTCTGGGTAAGAGCGATTTGGATGAGTCACCAGACATTGGTGCGAGCCTACATACGAGTCACGATCTCTGGAGGCAAAGCGACGTACACGCCCAAGATGCGCGCGTCGCAGAGTACCAGGTTGCCAATCGCATCTAGAATCGCTTGCATCCTTCCGCCAGCTCGATCGGCGCTCATAACCACGCCCACCGAGCCAACACCTGACCATATACAGTTACTGCTCGGGATGTTTGATGCTATGCATGAACATTAATGCTTGACTGATCCTCAAAGTCCCAAGCACGCACGAGTGAGTCCTCACGTTACGATTCACAATACAAGTGGTGCGCAACAAAGTACGCGATGCGTACGACAGGCAGAGATACATAGTACAGCGCCTGATCATGCTACGCCGTCCGCTCAGTCAAGCTCATCTACCTCGAAGCCGCGCTCGAACAGCCCGCCGTCGAGGACATACTCCCGGGGATGGTGTTGGCCTCCCGTCCTCTGCCCGCCGCCGCCACTCTGTTGCGGGTGAGACGGACCAGGCCGAGACCCGGAGTTGTGAGTCGGGCCCTGAGGGCGCGTGCCCTGCCACAGCCTCAGGTTCATCATCCGCTGACGCACCTGGTCCATCCCCGTCTGAGGCCGCCTCTGGATACTCGCAGCGCCTGGCTTCGACACTGTATCGTCAGCGGTTTTACGCGCCTCGAGGTCCCGAGAGAGGAGGTCGTCGTAGTAGCCGCGCTCCATCAGCGCGTCCTGGAGCTCACGCTCAACCATGGAGGCATCCTCGGTCGCACGCCCGAACAGCTCGCCGTCGAGGTCATACTCCCGGGGATGGTGGGCTCCCGCCCCGCCGCCGTTCCGCTGCGGGTGAGACGGACTAGGCCGAGACTCGGAGTGAGGCCCACTCTGCCCCTGCCTCTGCCGATCCACGTACGCCTGCAGGTGCAGCTGTACGTTATGCACCATATGCCTCTCCCTCTCCTCCCTCTGGACACTCGCAGCGTCCGGCTTCGGCACTGCTTCGTCAGCGGTTTTACGTGCTTCGAGGTCCCGAGAGAGGAGGTCGTAGTAGTAGCTGCGCTCCATCAGGGCGTCTTGGAGCTCACGCTCGACCATTGAGGCATCCTCGGTCGCGCGACTGTTACTACATGCTCAGCCATGAGATCAAATTCAATAGCGAGGGGCTCACTTGGTGATCGGGTGAGCAAGCGCGGGAGCTGTGGCCACCGCGAAAAGGACTGTAGAGGCGAGTGTAGAGTAGCGCATGATGTCTTGTATGCACTGGGGTCGTTACGAAAGAGGAACGTGAGTCGTTTCAAAAGAGAGCGAGGCTGGAGGGGTGCAAGGGGTGAGCGCAACCTTGAAACTATTACCGTCGGAACACTTACTTGCCGGCAACCTACTCGGTGAACTCGAAGGAGAAGATGAGCTAGGGGTACGATAAGCACGCCTCTCCTTGTATACGTAAGTTACGCTGGTATGCGTGGCTGTGGCACTGACTTGCGATCACAGAAGCGATCCCAAGATCTTGCGCCGTTCATCTGCGATCAGGTCCATCGCAGGCGTATATGAGGCAGTCTTGATCTCATATTCTACTCTGTAGGTTAGCGAGATCATTTAATGATGGTGAGTAGGCGGACCTGTTGAACGTCGGTCGTAGTGCTCCATAGAATGCATGAGTAAGTAGTGCCAGTAAGTATCGATCTAAGTCGACGAGGTACAAGGCTTAGTAGTTTCGGAGCGAGGTCAAAGGATTACTTAGCAGGGCATCGCCATCGTCTCCGTGTCAGCGTACGAGAACTGGTCCGCGAATTGGATTGGAAGGGCAGGGCCCCGTATCCAATGCCTCTTGTCCTGGAACGCCTTTGTGTGGAATGTACGGCAGGCGTCGCCCTGTGCCGGACTTGCGCATCTAGTCCGAGTCAACGTTAACCAACAGGAAAAAATAGAAGGGAGCGATCGCTCTGACGCAAGCATTCGTGTCGTACAATCCGAAAGTCTACTTACACGAGTTTTGGTCTCATTGTTGTCGGTAATCGCGCGACTGGTACTCGCGGAGTGGACACATCAGAACCTGAGTATGTGTGTCGTGTTCCTAAAGAGGTACCGGAGAGCAATCAATCGGACAAAGAGGACGTACGGTGCGCCTATAATCAGCAGGCAGATGCGCCGTAAACATCATTGATTTCTCTCCCTCGTCGATGAAGAAGCTCGTCACGTTGAATTGTCGCGCCCAGGGTACTCTTCAGTACGGCTAGCCGAGCGGGACGTAGCGGCGGCGACCATGGGAGATGAGTACCTAGCCACACAAGATACGGCGTGCAGTCCCCTAGAGTTATGAGCGACACGCTGATGGCGAGGCCGTTAGTAGTATACGCCTGCGAAGGCGGAGAGTGCGGGTCCGGGAGGGGGTCAAGGTCACGGTGTCGAATGTTCGGGAGCAGCGGACGAGCGTTGAGATGGTCAGAAGGCATTCACAGGCATCGTCCGGCAACGCTTCTCTTGTCAATTCCTGTGTACGAAAGGCGGCGGGTGCACCGAGAGCAGTGAGAGTCTGTGGCGCGTCGGTCGCTCTGACGCGTCTGTGGCTGAAGCCCGGCTCTTGCCGACGCGTTCATGGACGACTCGCACGGCGGCGGTCATTCACTGAGTTCTTTTTATTGCCGAACTTTACACGTACCCTCCACTCCCAGGACCCAGACAAGCACTCTGCCCTCTCTACCGGCTGCCTCATCACCTTTCCGTCACTATACGCCTGGAGAAGACGCGCGGCTTGCTCCGATGAATGTCACTGTTCTTGAACGCCCGAATCGTCGCAGCTACTACTCGACCTCGCGTCTGCAGACCCTGTATTCATGTGCGACTCCCTGGGCTTTCGGTCTCTCGATTGGACCCACCGAGCTTCTATACGACCTTAGCGAGCCCATGTTCGAGTCTGCTCGCCCTATCAGCTGGATTGACGCAGCAACGCGACTCCCTCACCACCATCGCACCACGCTTCAACGGAGAGCGACGTTGTAGGATGGCGGGGGGAGGATCATGTTGAGAGGACCAAATTGACAGCACATCGACTCGCCAATGCTCTGTACATCTACGTTGTAAGTCGTGCTGGTTCGCTTTTCTGTCCGTCTGCGTTCGCGCGCGCATATATGCGACTCATGCCTTTGACACCGTGCCTTTTCGCGCTGATGTCACTCGCGCATAACATCCCCGTGCGCATGCACCATTGCTCTACAAAAATTATTTATGCGTGTCTCTGATTCTGTCTACTCTCTAGGTAGCATCTCGTCACCGAGAACGTACAGGCCGCATACACTCACTAGGCACTGAGTGACCCTCCCGTCGACATCGAATAACCGATTGGGTGCTAAACGGTATCATTCAACAGGTTACTGACTTGTATCACGTCGAATGCACGTAGCGACTCGCTTGGCCGTCTTCAAAGCCACGTCCCCATCCGGCGCGCTGTCCACTTCGTAATTCCCGCAAATGGTCGGCGACACACGACTGCGCGCGCTCAACTTTCAGCGGTACACCGTCAACGACTCACACTCGGTTGCAAGGCGTACTCATGCAGGAAAGTCCGGCGCGTTTACCACTGACCGCGCGAGGTCGTCGATGTCAGGAGTATCCTAGGTGAGCATCACTCATCTCACTTTGCGCGGTGGAGTGAGACCGAACGTGTCGTCTGGCTGGTCATCGCCACCCCGAACCTTCCTCGCTGCGTCCACCCTCGTGGGAACGCTTGGCACCTCATCGTGGACCCAGACTTCTCTTGCAATGCGGCGTACAATCTCTGGCTACTGTACGTGCGCGAAGATATCGAGCTCAGCGAGCCGTTTTGCTGGTGGTTCAGGTACGTTCTCGTGCCGCTCCGGCGCCGGTTCAATGCTGACATGCAACTCGCAGAGTCGACGCAGACTCGGAGTCATGATTTGACTGTCACTCATCATCATACTTAAAGCCTGTAGACTTGCTGTAGACCTTGAAACGAGCGATCAGGAACTCAACTTCCAGTATCAGGTTAATCTGCGTGGCACCCCGCCAACAACAAGCTTTGCGCCGCGTCACGCTTCCCTCAGCACCAAGATGAAGTATGGCGTTAATGCTTAAGTGCTCTCGCTCCACCTGGGCGCACAGAGGGGTGTATGCAGATACGATGTGCTTACGGCTGCGGAGTCAGAGTGCGTCAGGAAGCCAATAGTTGGTGAGTCGCCACGTATCATACTCGGCTGGACACCGCTGAATTTGCGTGTGGTAGCAGACGCTCCTCAGAGACGAAGTGGCATGTTCAAACGATGCATACCCTCTAAGCGGAAGATGTACAGTTTTACACGTCTGTCGGAGCACTTGACGACACGTTAGTCGAGCCCAGTGACACTCCTTCTCCGCTGCCCGACTACTGGATGCCACTGAGAGGTGAACCCTCTCTACGCTCGTCAGTAGCGTTGATGTGCCCTTCCCAGCGCAGGGATAGTCATTCTCATCACACGACTTGAGCAGGTGCGAGAAGCGGCATACGGCCGCCTTGCAACGGGTTCGTCTCACCACGGTCCATTGCTCATATGTCTCGTCGTGGCTAACCTCCGCATTTGTCAGAAGGCCGCATGATGCGTCCCGTACGATCCGCGGGGAGCCCAAGCAATGCACAACCGGCCTCGCACGTTCGTTTGTCGAGTTTGGTGAGTTTATTGTCAATCGAGACGCGAACGGGCTGACTACTGATAATAGCTTCACTTTGTTAGAGGAGGATGGTATCGCTGTGAATTAGGGTCCACGTAGGTGCTACGTTGTAGGACACATATTCTCTGCTCAGCATGGCTGTGTATTGCGGCCCGACTGCGCTATTTGATGCACTGCCGCGAACACCGCGTCGCCACCGGCAATACGGACACGACGGAGAAACGGGTAATAGGTGAGTCTATGACGCAGCGGTAGTTCGACTTCGAATTGACTCATACGGATAGCTAGTGTGCATGTCCAGCTACACATCGCGCAATATACCGTCGAGTGGACCCCCTCGCCAGCCAACGTAGGCAGAAGGGCGCACTCGTGATAAGCTAGGAATGATTCGGCCATCTTCTGACGTGTAATCAGCCATCTAATCCATCGAACTTACTTAGGGTGCGCCATGCACGTCGGCGATGAGCAGGCGCAAACACAGCCTTGATGCTCAGCGCTCAACTGCGTGCTCGGTCAAGTACATGTGTCCCTCAAATCACACCTTCTGTCGTTGTCTGTCCGGAGTAGAACGCAGCGGATGGGCTCGGACGTAGCGGTCATCGACACGCGTGCATATCGCAGGGTCAGTGCTGCGATCCCCTGGGTCCCTCACAGTATTGACAGGTATAATCGTTGCGGTAGCTGTGGTGAATCAACGCACCCCGACTGTGTCCAAACCACATACTTCGCTTCGCCGTGTTCATCCGGCACGAGCTACTGAGTGTGAGGGAGGTAAGTGACGCCCTCTGCCGCTTGGTTGCTCGATCCCGTCCACCGTGAGTAGCCTTTCTCGAAGAGAAACGTACCCGTGACGGATAGTTTCCAGTGCGCGCATAGTGCACCAGCGGAGTCAATTAGTCGACCCAACCCTGCGACTCGATGTGTCCGCGGATGTTCCGTACGGCTGCGTGGGGGCAGCGTAGGCAGTAGTATGAATGTTTGTAGGTGAATAGCCCGGGGATCGTAAGCTTGAGAACCCAATAAGCCTAGCAGATGCCGTACTCACTCGGATTGTGCTCACCGCTCTCGTCAAGGGCCATGTAAAAGAAGACGGGCCTCGGCTAGTAGCGAAGGCGAACATCAGCCATGACGAACCTTCCAAGAAAATACTGACCACAACGAGAGACTGGGAGGGTCCGACAACACTCCGCACGCGGGGCCCGCCGTTCACATGCTTTGAGGTCCGCATCGGCGCCATTCGTGAGCGACGCGTGGCAGTGGTTCGGTAGATTGTGCCCAGACTCCGATATCCAGAAGGCAGTGTTTCGTGTGGAGGGGTAGAGATGCGTGTCGTTATGCGTATGCCCTGGAAGACGCTCAGGATATGTGACTACGATGCTGGTTTCTTCGCGTGCGATTCGGGCCTGTTGTCACCAAACAGCTCGCTGAGACGCAGTCAAACACAGAAGTACGAGTACTCACCGGTCGTATTTGAATACCCGACACGCTGCGTCGCTCCAGAATCCCGGATGTTGAGCTTCGGGAGCATACCTGGACTTGATACGGTCGCTGACTCGCTATATGCGCGCTGATAGAGTGAGCGAGGGCATTGAGCCGCGTCTACGAATCGTCAGTAAAGCTGAGTGAGACACGCCACGATGTGGGGCCTCCAGAGTCAAGACAGACCGCGACAGACATGGCTCTAGGTAGGAGCCGCCGGCGCAGGAGCTGAAGTTTGGCTGAGGTCGTCTATGGGAGGCGATTCGAGCACGTTCTGCGCTGGTATAAATCTGGGATAGTACAGAAGAATGCTGACGCTAACCGCAGAGCACCTCGCTCGGAGTCTCAGACTGCTGGCACTAGCGACGTGAGCAGCACACTACCGCAACCGGCGCCGGTGCACGACTCGGAGTAACCACGGATCTGGACGACCTATGACTGCGAAGAAGAACGGAGCCGTATAGTTTTCGTCAATGTAAGGCAGCCTTGTATATGCACAATGGCGACCAATGGATGGGGGTGTGCTCAAGCCGCGCGAATTCAGGCGCAAACGCGTCTGTGGCTGAAGCCCGGCTCTTGCCGAGGCGTTCACGCGACCTGTAGCGAAGTCCCTCAGGCTTGTCGTGCACAATAACCAAGGGTGCTGGCCAGCGTGCGCAGAGCCCGCCCACGACATCTGCACGCATCTAATGCCGACCGCCGTGCGCGTCCGCCTACCAGCTATCTAGTAGTATCTACTGCTTCGTGCGTCGCACCGTCTCCGCGCCTCGACAACCTTTCGACCTCCTCGCATGCGCATACCACTTCTCGGATCCACAAGCCACGCCGGCCATATCGAGCTAGTCTTCGGATTAAGAATAGCTCGTACAATGCTGCCCGGTATCCCTCGCTCCTGGCCGCGCAATGTCGAAAGACTTGGTCGCCCATTTTGTTGGACGAAGGTTGAGATTTTGACGGCGCACCTGCTTGCTCGGCATAGATCCATAGTGAGTCTTCCTTGCTTGACTCGCTGTCTGCTTGTAGTCTCACGTACAGACTGCCATGCTTCATGGGCCGCACCAGGTTGCCTCGTCGCCCTGCGCGAAGTACATCCCGAGCCTAGCCTTGCAATACCTTCCATACGTTGCACCTCTCGTCCGTTCCTCTCGCTCGTCGCTAGCCCTTCATCTTCAAACAGAGACGGGCTGCGCGCATGCGTTGCGCATTGCTACGCTGTACGTTCATCATTTATCCGCATTACAGGACTCACTGCGCCCGTTAGGCCGTGTATCTCACAGGTGTATGTATGCTCTTTTCACACCCACCTCTACTTCACACCGCCATAAATCGTGCGCCGTATCATCCGCAAGTGGACGACGCAAGACCCAACAATTCAACGGAGGACCATACCGCGCTCGGCCATGCGACTGGGCTCCGACGCCTGCCCTGGGCAAAGGATCGTATGCTGTGGGTACAGAGTGGGTGAGGTCACCGGTGTCTACGAAAATCCAGGTGAGTACCAATATATCCTCATGTGCGTGTTAGAGCCAAAGCGGAGTGTCGCCCAGCCGGTCGTCGCGAATCCTGTTCCTCTGCGCTTCGTCTATCGCTTGCGACGATGCCGCGCTACCTCGTCTCGCACATGGAGTTGACGTGCGATGGAGACAACAGCTGACACGTTAATTGGCAGGCGTGTAGAACGCTACCGTACCGAGCGAACTGGCTCGTTCGGCAGTGCCTCCTAGCGTCCGCCGCGGTAGTATATACATCATCTCCACTCACCTACCGCACACGTCCCTTCGTCGCGCACATCCATGACACGGCAGCTCGAACGCTCGGGGTGACGGGCCCACACAACTCGACTGCGACTAGCGCCTATACCCTCACTGGCGAAGGCGACTCAGAAGCTTAGGTTTGACTTCGTCGCCGCTGTCGCTTACGCCCCACGTGCAGATCTCTGCACACATTCCTCATCCATTCCGTGCACCGCGGACCGCGATGGGGGCTGTCATGCCGTAGATGCGATGCCTGTGTTTGAGCCAAAACGGGGTGACGCGAGGGTTACAACTAGCTTCGTCGCAGCAAGTAATATCGGTGGCGGTACTCTGTGCATCATGGGTGCATGTAATCACAGACCCAACGGTACATACTGGCGACGGATGACTTCAGGAGCACTGGGAGAGGGTTACTACTTCGAGCAAGATCCTATGCTTCTTCCTGTCACACCACGTTCGTCTCCCGAATGCGAGTTCAGATTCGGCCCAATGCATCAGTTTAGAATTCTTGCATAACAATCAATCGTTCTGTAACATACTACACCCAACGAAGGCTACGTGGGTTTTTACTTCTTCGATCGAACTGCTCTATAACCCGACGGACCCGCCTTGTCTTTATACTGTGCAGACAGACGGCTCGCAAGCGTGTCCAGCATATCGGACTCGCACTCAAGCAAGTGGATCTCTGCTCGAATACGTTCGATACGAGCCGTGACGACCTCGCAAGCAACCGCAGTGTTCCCAATTTTCTTGAGTCTGGTGAACATGTCTTCCTCGCTGTCTTGCAAGTCCCTGCGGTCGAAACTGACATCCCTAGCGAGACGCGGCTTCTTCGCCGGTGGAGGGATGACCTCCTTCAATAAACCTAGAAACAAGTGATGAGTTCATATATAGCCTAGACATCAAGATACCTACCACGATTGCGCCGGACGGTTGTCCTCCCTCTCAGCGACACACCGCCGAAGTAGCAGCCTTGCTGTTCGGCGGTGCACTTGTCGCACTTTGTCGCATCTTCACTCATGACACAATCAAGCATCCCTGTAGCGAAGTCTACCGCGCACCGGTCACACTACATAGGCAAGTCAGCTCCGTCACCGCTAAGCGCAACTAGATCTGGGCACTTACGGAGGACGTCGCATCGCGCACGAGAGCGGCGCGTTGGGCACGAAGTTCCATCAGTGACTTCTCGTTTTTTGCAGGTGGGTCGGCAATGCTCTCTTCATCCTCGCCACTATCGGACGCGGTTGCATCTACCTTCCGCTTTCCGGCCCTCGTCTGCGACACATTGGGTCCCGAAGTCGCCTGTTGCTTGTCCTGATGTTGACCTTCGGCCGGTTCGACCTCTCGCCGCTCGTGGTGCCCCTCCAGAGCATTCAAGAGAATCAACTCTTTCGAGTCTCGACGTGCCTCCGTATCGGCCCGCTCTCTCTCTGCCCGCTCTCTCTCTGCCCGTTCCAACCGCTCCCGGGCCTCCTTACGACTGCGCTCACGAGAAGCCTCGACAAGCTCTGTCTCGTATTGCTCCATGGTCTGTTCGAGCAAGTCCCACTGATTCTCACGTTGCCATGTCCGAATTTCGGTTGTTGCGTCGCGAACGGCACGCTGCAGGCCATCTCGGACGCAGTTCAGGAGGGTCCTATGGCCTTCAGCGCCACGTAGTGCATTATGATAGAGGATCTGGACACAGCGGTAGATGGTCAGCCGTTAAGGAGCGGTTAATCCAGGCGAAAGTCGAACCAAGGCGTCACGGCAGCCATCAACCCATTCGACGAGCAGCGGCGCACTCGTCGGACAAGGGTTGCGTTCCAGCCAAATGCGGAGCTTCTTATCCGCAGGGTGAGTTGGGAAGACAGATTCGTCAGGGCTGGCAGACATGACAACACAAGAGACAATCTAGGAGTAGACGAGCAATAATGAGCAAAACGGCCGCGCGGACACAGAGACGAAGACAAGCACGGAAACAGTTAAGTAGTCCTCGAGGACCGAGTGACACCAGCAAAAGGCGCGGCGAAATCTTGTCACTGCTTCTCTCGCTTGCCGCCGCGTCGCGCCCCTTCAAGTGGCTACTTCAGGTTCCCACAACGCGGTGTCTCCATGGGCCTACCATAACAAGAGATTGATCGCCGCGTTATGAAGGAACGCGCAGACCAAAGCTACTAATACAATGCAAAAGAGATATAATGTGACTCGTTGATCCAAGGTCTGCTCCGAGTCGCGTGTCTGCAAAAGCCATTGGCCATCCACAACAAGAGATTGCAAAAAGGCCAGCACGGTGAAACGACGCACAATGAGTCGGTCCAAACGCGTCTGCCATGGCGAAGCACGGGTATCGCCGAGCCTATAATCATGTAAGTTACGATCAGCGCTCCAGCCAACTTCGATGCGCCGATGTATCCCCCTCCGCTCGACTCTCCGCGCATCAGGCACTGGCACGGCCGCAGTATATTGCGCCGGGCGGAAGTATCTGAACATGCAATTGAGATGTACCAGGTAACCGCAATACAAAGTACTCAGGCCTCGCCACATCATCAATGCGCTGTCAGCGGCTGATACAAACCAACCTTCAGCGGTAACTCCGGGTTGTTGTTCTCTTTGCCAACCGTAGGATACCACACCACTCCGACGTTCCATTCAATTTGCTTGCCGCTCGGCTCGAAGGTGAAGTTGGACAGCAGTATGGACAGCACAACCTCTGCGAACTCATCGTCAGTACCACTATGAGATACTCTCGGACGATACCACGTACTCATCTCCATCTCCGAAAACTTGAAGCCGCTAAATCTACCTTCAGAGCCAGTGTAACATCAAAAACGCGTAGGACGTACATGCAAGCGCGCTTCCCTCCCGAGAATGTCATCCTATATAGAGTTAGCAATATAGACGGCACGACATCTCCGAGATAGAATGCGTACAAGTTGAGTATACGCCAGGAATACGCGCCTCAGTGACGGTGGCCGGGAGGGACAGCCAACGCTCAGGTTTCCATTCGAGTGCATCTTCGCCCCACACCGCCTTGTTCATATTGGACCCGGCAAAACCGATGACGAACTGCGACCCCTTCGCGATGGGTATGGCGTTCATGAATTTCCCATCTGTCGTGCGAATCGGTGTAGAGAGGGGGAGAACCGTATCCTTGTTCGCCCTGAATACGAGGGATCATTAAGTAGCTGCTATGGCAGTGCGATGTGCAATGGATTCACTTACACTCGGAGTAGAATCGTGGCAGGAGGATGACTATGAAGCGTCAGGCATGAGAACACTCAAGGTATCAGTTCATTTCTCACATTCTCAATGTCTCCCGGATGACTGCGTCGAGCAACGGCAGCCGATTCAGCTCGTCATACGGCAATCCATCGGCGGCGCGTGCCTCTAAGAGCTCTTGCCTAAGCTTCTGCTGGTGATCGGGGTGAGTTGCCAGCAGAGTCAGAATACGCGAGAGTGCGTTGGATGTCGTATCCAAACCAGCCATGATAAACAAACTGGCATGTCAGTCGTGCAACTGGGTGTTCATCGTTGGCGCGAGAGTGAGACTCACGACATCTGCGCAACCACTTCATCGTCCGGCAGTCTGTCGGTCGGATCCGCCGCTGCGTTCGCGCGTACTGCACATCAAAAGGTCAATCAGATCATACGCAGACGATTGCGCAAGTCAAATACGCACGGAGAATGCTGATGAGATCCTTTCCCTGACCGACCTGCTTCATCATCTCCGCGTCGCCCTGCTTAGATGCACGCTTTTTCGCAGCATAGATGTCCTTGGCGCTTCGATCTAAGGTGTCAAGGGTCTGCACGATGGAGTGAACACGGGTGCCCGGGGGAAACAACTTGAGGAAGGCACGGCGGAACCAGCGTGGAAGGGGTTCAGAAAGATAGGCGACCTTGCGGAGGATCATTAGACTGTCGAGCTCCGGCCTACTCGCAGTTCCATCGGCATTGCACATTTGAGATGTATCTGTGAGCGTGTGGCCGCTATAAGAGATCTACAAGTCGCTCACCCTAGAGATTTTAGAGCTTCGCCATAAGGATCTGCTCTGTCCGTCACCAGCGGGTCGAAAGAGTATCCCAGAGCGCCTTGACCAATCAGCTCCAAGGCAACTCGGGCAAGCCATGCGAGCATGTCCAGTTCTTGAGGACCGTCCTGTACACGCGCCCGGATTGCCTCCCGAAACTACACGGTGCTCAGCTTTCATTGCCACAGATATGTAAGTCATTACTCACCTTGCACCCGAGCTCGTGGAAAAGAGGCAGCATTGCACGCATATTGTTGACCGAGAACACGGGGTTGAGTAGCTTACGCTGCTTGGCGTGGTGTGGACCTAGCAATTCATCAGTCTTAGTACCGAAGTAGGTAGTATCGTGGTTTCTACCGAGCGTCGAGACCAAACAGGTACCCAGCGTGCTTTTGTTGATCCTAGAAACCTTTGTAGTCAAAGTCTGCGTAGGAACAGAATCTGATCGTGACTTACCCTAGGAACTCGTCGGTTTCTTGGAAATTATGCTCCTCCTTGATGAGCATCGTATGCAGTGCCAAGGGGTCGGATACATAGAGGATTGGCTCCTATCACATTACATGACTGGTCAGATTGCTACGTCGCACTTGAGGAGAGTATGTGTGCACGTACCCCGAAGAGACCATTTAACTTTGATATTGGGCCGTAATCTAGCGCAACGTGTTTCTGGAATGCCTCACCGTCCCGAGCAATGAATTGCATCAAGTTACCTATGGGCCATAATCGTCATCGCAGAGTCATTTGGGACACAACTTGAAAAACGTACCGCTCCAGAACGACTGAGCAGGCGGGCCAGGGATTTGCTAACGGCCAACAGAGAGATGCGCAAGCGAACATAGGAAACTACCTGTCGTAGGATGATACCCAGAAGTATAACTGCGGCTCCTAAGAGAGCGAGCGACCCAGGAGACCCTGCGAGGAGAGACAGATCCGATCCCATGTTGATCGATCTTAATCCTGAGGCTCACTGCGCGGAGGAATGAGGAATGAGTATATATACCTGACATCATATTGAATCCGGGTAGCGTACACCGTGATGAGTCCGCGGCCCGTTGGCATCGGCGCCTGTTGCATAGCATCAGAGAAGTGTCTCCCCATGGGGATGGATTACCTACAATCTTCGAACGACGCACCGGTTGCTTCTCACGTAGATCCTTCTGCAATCATGCGATGCAAAACAGCCGTCACTTTCGTCGTCATCGAATATTGAATCGTAAGTCACACTGAGGCCGCTGATAGCTATAGACTTCGCTTGTGCTCACCTAGTAAGTACGTCCGTCCCAAGGCTGCAGCAATCCAATACTGGAACGCGCTCAACTTTCTCAGTTCATGCTGCGTATCAGCGAGATTCGTCCGCGAGTGCTGCTGATCGGTACTCATGCGGAAGCAAAATCGGATTAACACTTGAACTCTCTCACGAGAGCTGTACATCGGTTTCGAAGACTTCCGGCCGCAAGAGTGGATCCATCAAGGCACGTTGCGCTCGTCAAGTCCGGCGAGGTCCGGCGGTGTTATTGCAGGTCCGACGATGGTAACTAGTGAACGTACCATACGTCCACTTGCATCCACCGTTGTAGGCTCATATTCCGAGCTTTTGTTCTTTTGTACACTATAAGCTATAGCGGACGAGAGAAGCTGAATCGTCTGCTGATACATGCCAAGTTGTAGTTAACGAGATGGTAAGTCATGGGCGGTTTGTAGGGCTCGAGGATATATCTGGGGGCGAAGTCAGCAATTTCTAGCGCGGCATGGATGGCTGCACGCAACAGGAGCAGACGGCGAGTATGTTACTTACGATCAGCCCATACTAAGCAGACGGATCCACCGTCAACGTGTTCTGTCTCATAGAGCGGTCGAATGATCATGTGGGTAGCGGGAGAGGATCGAGTTGAGTCGTAAGGACACCAATTGTGCGGTAGTGGTGGTCGTTCGTCGACGGGTGGATGTAGTCGGTCGGAGTCGACTCAGGCACTCGCTAGTAGTAGCTGGTGGGCATCGCGCGTAACGGGAGGCCGGTCTGCTTGGTCTCGAGCATGGTCATGAATAGTCAGGTCGTATCCCATGGCGTACACGCATGGAACGGACATGGGGCAGTGGCTGACCTGTCTCGTCGCTGATGCCGAAGAGCGAGGGTCAATGGCGGAGGCCGTCCAGTCATTGGAGACGTAGATCGGCGGCGCGAGGACCACCTCATATCCGCATCGACGGCGTACGTCGTGACTATGTTGTCGGGCTAGTACCCCTGCGCTGCGCATCCATTAGCGATAGGTGAGTCCGGGAGAACAGTATACTCACAGCGCGCAAAGATATCCGAATGCTCTGTTACAGCCCTCAAGCGGACATTCACACACTCGCAAGGTACTAGAGGAGACGGATTAGGATCGTGTCGTCTCAACGGGATAGAAACGAGTGACCCCAATCGCGAGATGCGACAGTTCGCGGAGAGACTCGGCTTTGTGGAGCCATCGGAAGACGCCAGTGCCCTGAAAGCTGCTCCGAGCTTGACATTGTGATCGCAGAAGCGAAACAACGTATCGAGCACTCAAAGAGTGACCACTACTTCGTCCATCCATTGGATGTCCTAGAGAGGGCATTGCAGGTCAACGGCGGGTACTGCTTCCAACATGACTGCAACGCACCACCGGCAACAGCAGGCCTCGAGAGGCAAATTTGAGAACACGTCATCAACAGACGACAGAGGTCAGCGATGCATACAGCACGCACAGCCTGATGGATTAAGATGTAGATCAGTACGTCAGCTGGGCGAATGTATGCGTGTGGTGACTCGCCTTGGTCCCAAGTTCCAGGTAAGTTGTACGGCTGATAGCGTGTATGGCAAAATGGCACCGAGGTGGCTGCTCCGTGAGCAAGCTCTGCGATAACGTTTGAGACATGTGTCGTAGCCCGAACTGCTGCGTGCGGGGATCACAGAGTCGCAGCGATAGAGTGTATGGAGGTCGGGTAGCATTTGCTCTGTGCAGGTCATGAACGGCAGCCGAGAAGAACTCAAAGATTGGTGGACAGACCTTCTCATATGGTTGAAGGCAACTTGAGGCGATATGTTGAAGTGAGGGCGCACCGATACTCGAGTTCGGACGCCTTTTGTACCCTTTCTATCGCCCGATGTCTTCTGTATGCGCATGTTTCCATGTATCCCATCGTGCGGCAGCAGGCCAATTCACATCAGACTGCGTGAGTGATTTGAAGGACTCTGTCGGCGCGTCGAAACGCGACTATGAGTCAGGTCACCCTGTTGAGACGCGTCGTGAAGTTGCTATGCGCACAGCCGTTCGAGTTTCTATTGTCTCTGAGACGAGTCGAGCAGTAATGAAGTGATGACACCTAACAGGTAGCAACATGCGCACTGTATTTCGGCCACTACTAGTAGACAGCGCTTCGTCGAGAACGAGACACGTTGCGATGACGAATCGAGTTTCAAGACCTGTATATCGACGCGCAACCAGATGGCAAGCATACAGTTGAGCAGAAAACCGATGCTCAGTCAAATAAGCCAGATATGCAGTCACCAGTCATAGTCCGAGTCGACGACGGTCGGATATGCACGAGTTCGGTGTCATCGTAGTGGTCGCCGGGGGCGCTCGCGCGAAACGCGTCTGTGGCGGCGCCGGCAGGCTGAGGAGGATGTACATAGGCGTCTACTATTAATGGGCCGATACTGGCTTTCAACTCACTACGACCGTGTCGCTGTCCTCACAGGAGATGGCTCTGTATTTGCTCTGTATCGCTACATTCCGTGACGATGATCCTACAGTCACTGTATTATTCATGCATAGTACAAAAGCATTTCTACTGAGAGATCCTACGCAAATTAGACCGTCTTAGACAACGTGACGAGACATGTCCGACGAGCGAATAAATCAGGTCAGTCAGTGGGCAGAGAATCAAGGCTGCCTCCGTTGAATATGCACTAGCAGGACAGCAGACCAAATGGCATCATGCGAGGCTATCTGATCTGTTGTCGTGTCAGCACATCGCAACGGCGCATACAGGGCAGCCATCCTACAGCTGCAGCCACGGCCAGTGGCTTCTAGATCTCAATTAGACCCATAGTTGTGACCTATATGCAGCTGAAAACGGAGGATACGCAGCGAGAGTAACGATCTGCGTGATTGTTGGCCATTGGCGGGCCACGTACGTCCACCGAACCGGGTCGGACGCCACAGCGGTCACACCACTGGCAATGCGTCATTCAGCGATACCGTAGACTCGTATTGAGAACGAGAGACGTCTAGGAGCTTCATCTTCTGCAGCGCCACAGTCGCCAAGACGTCCAAGTCGTACGCGTGGCCTACTTCAAGTTGATGTGTGGCTTGCAAACGTTGGCTACAGCCGTGAGCCATGGCCAGGATACGCGTGCGCGAAGGTTGTGTATGAGCAGCAGGTAGCGTCCCGACGCCGCAGCCCGAGTGTAAGTCTGAAGCACGACGATGCGGACGGAGTGCCTGACCGGGCGCACCGTCGCGGCCTGCGTCGAAGTGCTCGTGTGAGCAACGGCTGCCACCGGACTCGGAGGTTCGCGTATAAGTTGTGCGTTGTTCGACTGTGTCTTCGCTGCTGACCCTTCCGCCCCAGTCCTCGCGTTTCAGCCCCGTGGAAGCTGTGTTGTACGACATCATGGTCGCTCATCACCTCGCTCACATTGCCCGGGGTCTGGTCTCCGTACGCAGCTTGCTCAGTCGAGTTGATGCCTCCGTTGTGTAACCTCTTGCTACGCGGGAGAGACCGACGGGCGCAGGTTGTTATATATGGCGACCAGGCTTCTCGGGCGCTCGCAGAAAAGCAGGAGGTGGCGATGTCGGCCGCGTGACTATTTCGGAGGGATAGGACGCCCCGGGATTGAACCTGGGAACCAGGCGCGGACGTCTGCGACGGGCGAATGCAGCGGCTCGTTCAGCCACCCACTCCGTGTCCCGTACCCGCCGTCGTGCACACCATATGATGCGTGCTTGCAGAGCGAAGACATGGCCGCGGATCGTCGGCGTGACGCGGGCGTCGATGGGGGCAGGATAGTGCGCCGCGAGGGAACCTCACGTCCGCTGAAGGCGGCTGAGGTGACGAACGATGCGAAGAACGTGAAGCCGCGCGGCGTCCTCTGAGCGGGACCTGAACTGAGGGATCGTGCATCGGGGAAGTCGACTCGCCGGTGAACAAACGAGGTTGCGGCACTTCCGCTCGACGGGATGATACTCAGAGTTGGACAGCGGCGGGCGATCGTGCACCTGGCGTGGACGAGATGGAAGACGCCCCTGGCCGCGCTTCCATTGTCCAGTGTCGAGGCACCCCTCCGACTGCGTACACTTGTGGCGGACGAGAGCTTCAGATCGGGAAAGACCACATTTGGAGCACTTGCGGACCGTCTTTCAGGTGCACCTGTTTGACATGTTTAAGAGGGACCGAAGTCCTGTGCGGCAACGCCCGCTCGTAGGAAAGAACCTGGAAGCTGAATCACGTCGCTCCAGTCCCTGCCGAGGCTCCGTTCGGTAAAGGCACACTATTTTCCCCGGACAGGTCGAGTCGCGTGGTTGGTGTACCTTGCTTGTGTATCTAGCTCGAAGCTGGCGAACCACGCGGGCGCGATATGCTCGGCTCTGGAGTAGTGTACATCCCTAGAGAGTGGCCGACGCCCCCTCCGGAACCGAAGCTGCGATGGTGGCGTGAGTACCCTGAATGAGAGCCAGAGGACTGATGACCTACGAGGTTTGGGACATGTGTTATAGCACGAAAGAATGTCTCGTTTCGACGGAGATATTCACTGGGACAGAGTATGTGTGAATGCGCTCCGAGAGCAAGGTGTGGCATGCGCTCACCTGTTGGTTGGCTTGAGCAGCATTTCTCGTTGAAGCTTATCTGTAGCGTAGAGGGAACGGGGACATGGTATGTCTACTGGCGGTTTGCTCCTGGGTTATATACCGCCGTGGAATGGTCTCTGATGGCACGAGTCACGAAACGCGGTGTCCCATCCACAATCACTCACAGCGACGCGGATAACAATCGCGCGCGATACCTTTTGTCTCGCTGTACCTCGGTAGCAACCGCTGAGACTGAGTGCAATTGTACAGCGCCCTCGATCTGTCACGGAATCGTGGGTTGCCGCTGACGGAGGTAATTGTCAGCGTAAAAAACAAGACAACAGCTACGAGTCGCGACTATATTTAGACGCACGTCAATCATAAAACCCAGTAAAGCTCGACTTTGACGTTGTTCAGTTAGATCCGCACCGTCTGTGGTCGAGCCGCTTTTGGCACACACCTGTACACAACTTGTCCAGACCGACCAACAAAAGGGAGGACGTGCCTTGTTACGCACTCTACAGCAAATCATGGGAGAGTGACCAACAAGGAAACTCATCCATTCTTCACATACGCGGCCCACTCTTTACCTTTGTCCGAGCCTCCGTACAGCTTCTCGAGCTCTGTCCGCGTCAGGAACGCGTGGTCTTCCCAGGCGAACCCGGGAAAGACGACCTCCGTGATTAGACAGCCTACGTGGTCTTCTCGGGGTCGGCGGCGGCAGACAGATGGTCGGGTAGGAGGTGAGACATCTTCCAGATCCCGGAGGGAACGAGTAGTTAGAGAACTTCGCCCGCTTGTATGTTCGGGCTCAAAACCTGAGCAATGATGGGCGATAGGCATAGCTATGATGAAGCCTTGTACAGGGTATTGACGAAATGGTGTGCGTACCTTCTTCTCGAGCTTGGGCGGGCTGCCGGGCGTTGAAGGACGGTTATGAGGTGTAAAACGTGCAAAGTCCAATAGTATAGGAGTTAGCAAATTTCCCTGTATACTCAAGAAAGACCATCGGACAGGAAGATCCATACTGCCGACTTGTTCATATGGAAAACCCCACGCTTCTCGTCGGGCGGTAGGAGATAGTAGATGGTGGTGGCGAGCGAGCGAGCGCGATGCACCTCCTACAACGTAGACCGTACCAGCGCATGATGGCACAGTGTTTCATGAGTCGTCTCCGCAGATGGCTAGATACTGCGCTCTTACCAACAAACGGAGAGGTAACAGTCTCAGACTGGTGGTCTATCTCGGCGAAGTGTCCTGAGCGTGTCATGTGTGAGGACGGGCATCCAATCAACTACAATGTATGACTCGCAGTCAATGCAATGCAAAGAGGGAGATGTGCGTTACTTACTGCCCTCTCGAAGCTTTTGCAGGCGTAGCTCAGGTATGAGAGTCAAGTTCGGGATCGAATCATGAACGATCCGCGCGTACAAGAACTTTAATCGGGGAAAGCCGCGCATCCTCCCCAGGTGTAGTGAGCGTAATACAGCGGAAAGACAATCAATCAGCCGGGAGAGTGGACATTGTCTCAGCGAGTGACCGCCGCGGTGCGAGTCGTCCAAGAGGCGTCGTCGTCCAGCACGGCGGTGGTGAATGCGTCGGCAACAGCCGAGCTTCAGCCACAGACGCGTCAGAGCGACCACCGACCGACCCGTCCCCCCACATGCTCTCACTGCTCTCTGCGGAGCCACTGCCTTTCGTACACAGCAATCCGCGGATAAGGAGGACTTCATCGCCTGGCGATGTCTGCGAGTGCCTTCTGACGACTCCAATGTTTGTCCGCTGCTCCCGAACGTACGACACCTTGACCACCTCCCGGATGAGCACTCTCCGCCTTCGCAGGCGCATACTAACGGCTTGAATGACACTCTCCCTCCGTACTTGCATTGCTCGCAAACTCGATTGGTCCGCACGCCGTACTACCTCGTATCGTTGGTTGCTTGTCTCCCATGGTCAAGCCGCGCTCGGCTGGCCATTCTGAGGGACAGACGAGTAGCCTACGCGCAACGTTTCAACACGGCGAGCTTCTTCGTCGACGAAGGAGAGAAATATGATCTTACGGCGCATTCATTTGCTTAGTATAGGTGCACCGTACGTCCTGCTTGTCTGATTGATTGCCCGTCCGCGCCCTCACATATATTCACTGTTTTCGTGAATTATATCGCCGTCGGTTGTTGTACATGTGATGTTTCCCCTCGCCTACATCACATTCCCGACTCGACACTCTGTTGGCTTATGATGACCTCCGTACATTCAGGTTCGATCCCTCTTGGCGCACTCTTCGCCAGCCGAGTTCAACTCCATGTGTGCGGCCATCGAGGACTCAGGAGGTCGCCACCCTCCGCCGCCGCGGCGTCGCGCTCCTCAGGGCGTCTGCAATCCCGGTTCCTTCTCATTCAGTCTTCCCCGACTCCTCGCCCTGAGCAACATACGGGACCGCCCGCATTGTACCTTACACTGTGAATAACACATCCGTCCCGTAATATGGCGCTGACTGCATATCCATTTGCCCGCGCAGTGAGTAGGTCAGTGGTTGACATGTCGCTGTATACGCGCGGTATCTTCGCTTATGCCGAAATCTCAGGCATATTGCCATCTGGCTCGTGGCCCGCTCCGTTACGGATATGCCCCGCAAATCGGTGACGCCACGCAACTCAACGGCGCAATTTTGATCTTGTTCGCCAAAGACTTGCTCTCGCTTACAGCCGGCACAGGGCTTGCGCTGGATCTATGTACTAACCCTTGTATACCCTCCGAAGGCTGGGATTGATCCCTACTAGCACTATTCACCATGATGCAATATGCATGCATGCTATGCACCATCACAACCTAAGCTCAACATGTACAGGTCCGTCTTCTCACCGTCGTATCTGGTGTATTGATCCCGCTAAAAGTGGTAGTAAAGCCCGTACAGTACCCACTGGTACTAGCAATATGAGATCAAGGCTGCCTCATGTACGCCTGCGATGGACCTGATCGCATATGACCAGCGCAGGATCTTGGGATCACTGCTTGATCGCAAGTCGGTGCCGGGGCCACGCATACCAGCATATAAAAGGAGACCCATGCCTGTCGTATCCTCCAGCTCATCTTCTCCTTTCGAGTTCACCGAGTAGGTTGCCGGCAAGTAAGTCTTCCGACGGTAATAGAGTCAATATTGCACTTACCATTTGCACCCCTCCAGCCTCGCTCTATTGTTTTACGACTCACGTTCTTCCCGCCGAAATCCTTGATAACGACCCCAGCACATACAAGACAACATGCGCTACTCTACACTCGCCTCTACTGTCCTTTTGGCGGTGGCCACAGCTCCCGCACTCGCTCATCCGGTCACCATGTGAGTGCCTCGCTATTGATTTTGATCTCATGGCTGAGCGTACAACAACAGTCGCGCGACCGGGGATGCCTCCATGGTCAGCGAGCGCGAGCTCCAAGACGTACTGGTGGGGCGCGGCTACTACGACGACATCCTCTCGCGGGACCTCGAGGCGCGTAAAGACCCTGACAAAGCAGTGTCGAAGCAGGCCGCTGCGAGTGCCCAGGGGCAGAGGCGGATGACAATGGGCCAGTGGCGGCAGCGGCAGGCCGGTAGGGAGGAGGAGAAGGGGAAGCGCTTGCGTGAGTGTCTGGCCCGGGTTCAGGACTCCGCGCGTGGACTCACAATGAAGCAGCAAACCCGTCTCACCCGCATCTGAACGGCGGCGCCGGGCAGGGGGCGGGAGGAGGCCAACACCGTTCCCGGGAGTATGACCTCGACGGCGGGCTGTTCGGGCGCGCGACCGAGGATGCCTCCATGGTTGAGCGTGCGCTCCAAGACGCACTAATGGAGCGCGGCTACTACGACGACCTCCTCTCCCGAGACCTCGAGGCGCGTAAAAACCCTGAAAAGCCGAAGCCGGACGCTGCTCAGAGGCGGAAGGAGTTGAGGGAGGGTCAGTTGAGGGCATTTGAGCACGGTATGGCCCAGGGTCATGACAGGCCGACTCAGATTTTTGGCCAGGGGACTCGGCCTGGTCCGTCTCGCCCGCAACAGAGTGGCGGCGCCGGGCAGAGGGGGGGAGGCCAACACCGTCCCCGGGAGTATGACCTCGACGGCGAGCTGTTCGGGCGCACGACCGAGGATGCCTCCATGGTCGAGCGTGAACTCCAAGACGCACTGATGGAGCGCGGCTACTACGACGACCTCCTCTCTCGGGACCTCGAGGCGCGTAAAAGCCCTGAAAAGCCGAAGCAGGGCGCTGCGAGTGCCCAGAGCCTGGGGCACCTGCAAGAGCAGAATCGGGTGGTGGGGGGGTTCTTGCGGGGGCAGATGCAGGCGCGGAGGCGGGAGCGGGAGCAGATGCAGAGCCTCTCTCCCTCCACGTCTGGTCCGTCTCACCCGCATCCGAACGGAGGCGCTGGGCAGGGGGCGAGAGGCCAACACCGTCCCCGGGAGTATGACCTCGACGGCGGGCTGTTCGAGCGCGGCTTCGAGGCAGATGAGCTTGACTGAGCGGACAGCGTAGCATGATCGTGGCGCTGTACGATGTATCTCTGCCTGTCGTACGCATCGTGTACATTGTTGCGCATTGCTTGTAATGTGAATCGTAACGTGAAGACTCACTCGTGCGTGCTTGGGACTTTGAGGATCAATCAAGCATTGTTCATGCATAGCATGCATGTCAAACATCCCGAGCAGTAACTGTATATGGCCCGGTATTGGCTCGGTGGGAGTGCCGGTTATGAGCGCACGGGAACAATTCTACATACAGTACTTAGGTAGATTCAATTCGCAACACTGGGCTACGACGCGCGCATCTTGGGGGTGTACCGCTACGTCACTTCGTCTGACCAGAGATCGCTACTCGTGTGTAGTTTCACGCCTATGTCTAGCGACACATCCGAATCACTCTTAGTCACACCAGAGAATGCATATTCGGAGCAAGTAAGTACTGCCGCAGTGCGAGTCGTCCGAGTCCAGCACAGCGGTGAACGCGTCGGCAAGAACCGAGCTTCAGCCACAGACGCGTCTGAGCGCGACGACTCGGACCCATCGCACTACATAAGTATTCTCACTACTCTCTGCGGAGCCGTCGCCTTTCGTACACAGCAATCCGCGTATAGCGAGAAGCCTCGCTCGACTTAGGCTATCCTACTCGCAGGACGACCTCGGAGACTATCCGTGCGGTCCGCTTGAAGCACGAGTGTATGCACGCGCAAATGTGCAGACGGTGAGCGGGCAGACGATGTACAATGTCACGATGCGCCCGCGGCAGCACAGGTACAAGTCCGAAGGACCTCCGGCCTAGTCGTGCCCTACGTGTACTCGCGTCGCCTTATGTCTCGAGCGACATCGTCTGCATGCCTCATCTTTGCGTAGCCATCGTCTGCCAGGACGCGCGCATCATGGTTTTTCACATGCTGGCTTTGTCGCGGCTGGCCCTCACCTGTGTGAGTAGACGAGAGGGTGTCGTTCTCGACATAGGCTGTGACGAAGGCGGTAGTCGCGGCACGTAGTCTAGGTGAGCACGGTATCCGCTTGGCTTAGTGCCCTGATGTTAGACTTGCGCTAGTCGAACCATCTATATCTAATTTCCTCCCCAGACATTCTGCTCTTGATCACCGCCATTACCCATAGAACATGCGGCTACACCGGGTCCTCCTCGCTGTGATCGCTCGGTCCTGCCGGTGCGCTATATGTGACATGAGAACTCTCCATCGCAAGTACGTATCCATCCCTGTCGTAGAGATATTTGACTGAACTGTCAACAGGATGGACCGACCAAGGATGTTGAGCACCCGTTTTAGTTACTTACCTCCAACACGCCCAGTAGCTCGCGTTGCGCGGTCGAACCAGAACTAATCAGCCACGAGCTCAAGCGCGAGCAACCGTTGTTGTTCCTTCACAGTACCACGTCAACTCGTTGACCCTGGAATGGTGGTCGTTGCGACGGTGAGCCAACACCCGCGCAGCCTGGGCCGTCACGATGGTGCGTAGCGGCCGTTGTTCGGTGAGTCTTGGTCCGTTAATTCAACCATTGTAACATCTCGCATGATATGCAGTATGTGAGGGCGATGCATCAGTAACAAGCTACGCGCGACTGTGCCTCGGATGCTGTGAGTGTACCATCAGTCTAGACGAGTATACCAGTTACTGATTATGGCTTCGTATGGTCGGTCAATAAGGTGCACACGCTATGCAAATTATGTGAGTTATTCCCGGTCATCTGGATCTTCCGTCGGAGCGCAATTGTGATTGTGTACGAGTCAGTCATGCAATTCGATGTACTGCCACGAACAACACATCATACCTGGGCGACACAGAGATGATCGATGGGCTCCCAGTGAGCCCGTCACATTCTGTAGGTTGACTGCCTGGAGATGGATCACCTGTTGCGCGTTGATTGCGCGCATATACAGAGAATCTCACCTCGATGGTTGAAGCCCAACGGAGGAACCTGTCACGCCGATGTGATGTGGAACAATCATGACATCCGCGTTCTAATCGTTTGTCGTATGGAATACTAAGTAAGCACCGCACATGTCATTACTAACAACCGGCCATTGACGAGACGTAGGCGTGGCCGAGCAGCGACATATCAAGTAGATGGTGATCCGCCCCCCATCGTACTGCAGATGCACGCGTCCATGCCCCCACTTTCGTCCTGACCTCCGCGTCTCGCACTGCCCAATACACCAGCTGTCGCGGGACCGGCAAGCGTTCGTATCTGCGGTAGCCCCGGTACGCCGGTCGCGCTGCGCACGGGACGGGCGAGGAGCGTACGCATGTGTTGTGTACAGGGCGAGCGGGACAGATTCGGGGTAGGTTGCGAAGAAGTTGTGAGGTGCCAGCCTGAGGATATATTTGATAACGTGGGCGACCACGACCACGCGCGGTGCAATCCGCGAAGCATCAGAACATGCGTACGCATTGCGTGGGCACGAGCGGACAGCAGACCGGACAATAATCACTTACTTTGGGCCTATGCTGAGCAAGCTGATGTACTTTATTGAACCCTCCGTCCTGCGGAAAACAGCTGGCCGAGCTCTTGGATATCGCGCGTCGGTTGCGAGGGGTACCGGCGGGAGATATGTAGTGCGGTGTACGAGCCAGTTATAAATTGGGCATCATTGGCTCGAGAGTCATCTTTGTATGCGCTTGCGATGGAGGCAGCGAGGCGCGGAGATGGTGAGAGCTTACGCCGAGAGGGCACGAAGGTGCGGTCGGTTGGTGGGCGGACGGGTACTCGGCGAAAGCCGACCTTCAGCCACAGACGCGTTTGCGTCCCGCTTTGACCAGTCTGACTGACGTCGTACGCCTTGCAGGTCGACCTGACCATCCTGTGCACCAAGCCCTGCTGCATACTCAGTCGCATGCGGGACCCGTCTCAACTCGCTTGCCTCTCCGGTACATTTCCATCACCGGCATACCTGGACACAGTGACCCGGACTAATGGCCATGGACCAATGCCTTCAGACGGCCTTGTCCGCAGACGTATCGCCCTTCCTCGGTCACTGGCAACAACATGAATTTTACTGCTTACCAGTCTAGATAGACTCCTTCCATTTCCGTGAACTCGGGCGACGTCTCGCGGTGTCCGGTTTCAATCTCCATCTCGGAGCTATGCCCAAACCTGCAGTGTACGTCTCCAGAACTGGGACTCATGCGAACGAATGCTGATCACTTGCGTGAGACGATACAAGGAACGTCCGAAGCCGAGATCGCAGGCTTCGATAGAGTTGCTTTCTGGCGTGGCTTCACGCTCGGGGTCGTCGGGACAACACATCATGGCAATGCACCGTTCGTTGGTGAGTTACTCACAGCTTTTTTTCGACTGATTCTCACCTCGGATTGAGTTACGTTCTCGATATGCCTTTCTGGATACACCAGCGCACGCATCGAACACGAAGGGAGAAGGCGGCGTTTTCTTTCCTTGCGCGGAAGCGGCGCTGATGAGGCTGTACAACAGATCTTTCCATCCGCTGCACCGCATTCATCTGAGGTGAGTCTCCTGTCTGCTGTCGATCACTCCCAGTATCTCAGTTTTGCCAGTGTCCCGAACTAGATCATCGGTCTCGAGGACACGCCACCAACAGCTTTCTCGGGCACATTCACCACTTAGCGATGCTGCCAACCCCCGGCGCAGACTTGTCGCTCGACGCGTTCTATGGCCATGCTAGTTGGATTCAAGTCGGCGACAGCTTGTACACTCATGTTGCTCGGCTAGACCTTGCATCTTCCGACCCTCGCGCCGGCTTGGCCATGACCGACGGGAAGCCTTCGCTAGCAGGTGAGGTCGCATTGCATCCGTGATGAATGGTGGTAATGCACAGGTATAGGTGATGATGTCGCTCCGCGGTACGTCGTGCGATATCCGAGGATCCGTCTTGCCAATCGCTGCGTATGCCGTACTGTATTGTGGCCACGCACATTGATGGTATGTCCGTAAACACGCAACCTGAGCCTATATTGGCAGATGTGATTGTGGAGCCGAGGCGAAAGCCAGGACAGATGCCAGATATGCCTGTGCAAAGTCTGTGATATGGCTCAGTTATCTTTCTTAGTAGGTGTTCGTTGTTACTGTGTGCTCTACAATGAAGCTTACAGTGGAGGACTCAGAGCTGCACTGCCACCCTCTCGCCATGTGGGGTAGAACAAGGTTAGCAGTGTCGGATTTCGGTGACAGTCATAGGCAAAACCACCATGTCTGGGTTGAGAGTCGAGATAATGGCTATTCATATTCTAGCAATGCAGTATTGGTACAACAAGCTGTGTTGAGGTTGTGAACAATCCATGCAATATCATCAATTGTCCACTGTTGCTGTTTGATGCTTAGTTTGGATCCACACATCATGAGCTCTGATCAGGCCCACATGCATAACATGCATGATATGTGATTAGGCCACTTCATTTCACATATCAAACAAGTCAAGGACCTTGAATTTCCCAATTGTCCTGATAGCAGATTGGAACATTGCAACTCATTGATGCAGTATATGGTATATATATAAGAGTACACAAGAGTCTCATACACTATATCTGCACTCACTATGAGCAACAGCACATCTGCCAGTGTACAAGAGCTTCAAGATGCATTCAACATTGTGTAAGCATTTACTCATACTCTATGGCTGAATACTCATGCTGGCTTTACCAACAAGATTCACTGATGATTGTGCATACATAGCATCACTATGTGAGTCTTCTCATTCCTAATTCCTGCAGATATTGAGGCAATCTTAGGCTTCTACTTGTTTGACTTTTGCTTGACATTTGACCAACAAGTCAAGTTCTTGTGGAACCGCAAGCTGTCCATTCCATCAGTGTTGCTTGCACTTATGCATTCATCAACCATGATCTTTGGTATATCTCAATTCGGATTTGAGGTTGCCCTAGGCTGCAAAGTTTGTTTATGCCTCATGAATGACACCCAACCGCTACTGATTGATGTGACATTACAGAGGTTTGCAACCAGTATCAAAACTGCTTCTCTATTCATTCTTATATTCTTGCAGTGATGAAATCTGGTACTACACCAATTATGGGGCTTACATTGTGCTCAGCATTGTCATATCAGGCATGTACTCTATTGACATGCCAGTGGCTGATAATGTGGCCTGACCCCATGATCTCAGCAATTTCAGCTTTGCGTGTCTATGCCATCAATGGAAGGCATTGGCAGCTTCCTTCACTCATTTTTGCAGTGGCCATTCCAGGGATTGTGCAAGACATAGTATGCATCCATGCTGATTGGTGTAGTATAGTTGCACTCACATGGGCTTTCAGTATACAATGGTCATGACCACTGCAATCAATGCCCCTCAGGTTGGATGTGTATTGACTGTGCCCAAACTCAAGTTTGACAGTGGGTAAGTCATTGTTACAAATGATTCTGACATCCTAATGTTAGTAATCACAATGGTCTTGGGTCAGTTGTAAGTGAGGTTCCCTTGTCTGGTGATCTCAAAACTCATGTGGGCTTCACCAGTCGCTGTTGCTTCTACAATTGTGGTCTTCACAGCAAACATCCTTGTCTTGGGAGCAACATGGTATCACACTTTGACAGTGAAGA